GTTCAAAGGTCAACATGAACTACATAGAGACCCTCTCTCCAAAAACAAAAAGCCATAGAAAGATGCTTTTCTCCTGTGGGTCTGTCTCCCCTATCAAACAAGGAAGGCCCATCTGCTCCTGCTTTTCCTGACTTCACTTCCACCTCCTTCCCTTGATATGGTTTACAGATGCCCTGTCTGGTGTGGTAGACAGAGTGGTACATAAGAAACACCAGGTCGGGTTCATCCCTCAAACTTGTTGCCAAGTAAGAGGAGAAGAGATGAGACCACACAGCAAGAAAGCGCTGCATGAAATGATGTGGGGATTCCCTCAGAGAACAGAAGGAAGAAAGCCTGGGGCACACTGCAGGAGAGAAGGGTAAGCTCAACAGGCAGAATTCACCAGAACAGTGAGGAGAAGGAGCACTGTCCCAGCCCGGAATCAATTCCCCACAGCCAAGCCACATCAAGACGAGCGCTCGCTGGAGGGTTTGACCAGGGCTCATCTAGATCCCTGCTCAGCCTCTCCCAGGCCCCGGTTTTCAGCCTTCCCAGACCTCTTTCCTTACCCACCACGGTGCAGATCTGAGGGTTTGCTTGCAGGGGTTTAGCGAAGATTAAATGTATGTGATAGGGATGGTATTCAGAAAGGCGCCTGGTGCCTAACAGACCATTCTAAGAAATGCCACTTCCCTTGCTGTTTCAGCGCCATCTTACCGTGCTACCAGCAAGAACATGGAAAGTACAGCTAGGGAGCCACGGATTTAGCTCAGTGGCACAAGCACCTGCCTAGAACGTGCAAGGTCATGAGTTTGATGCCCGGTACCATAGAAAAAAAAGTACATCTGGGGTCTGAGGACTGAAAGCTTTTTCTGCCCATTCATAGACCATTCACTCTAACGTGACTTTCCCAGTGCCTTGTCCACATTCACACACACACACATGCGCACACATTCACACACACACACACACACACACACACACACACACACACACATACACACGCGCGCGCGCGCGCACTCTGTGTAAAGATCCGAGGAGAGGAGAAGCTGCTTGCAAGCCTCTGATCAGACAGGGCCAGGTTCGGAGGTGTCTATTACCATCAGTAAGGAAAACAAAGGCCCACATGAGACAGGGCCTCCAGGGCTCCCCCCGCCCTGGGACTCAGCAGGCCTGAGACTGCAAGCTCAGATGCCACTCTCTATGGGGCTGGAGGGAGAGGCTTCGATTAAATTATGGAAAACTCCTATAAAATACCTTGCAAGATCGTATGAAGCTATTGATATTTCTGTATGCAAACAGACTGAGACAGATGCCGTGGGAGGAATTAGGCAGGGAAACTGGTGAGAGAAGGGTTGTTCACCTCAGTTCACCCCTGCTGACAACAGATAAAGAAGACGCACGAGGAGTTAGAAGTAGCACCCCAAGAGAAAACAGCATGACCGCACTTATACAGCATCCTTAGGGAAGCAGCATAGATGCCTTCGTGCATGGAGGTTGTGTCTTGAATGAAATCATTTGAAGTTAGACTTGAACAAGTTTATTCTTCTGTGGGGGAGTCCAACAGAGAAGCCAGGCCCTTCTTTGAGAAACACAAATAAACCCCAAATTCTTTTGTATGGCCCAGATTCTCTTGTACAGCCACAATATTTATAATCACAGATTTTCTTAATGAAGCTGAGTTTTTTCTTTTCTCATCTTTTCTATCTTTTCTTTCATGTTTGTGTGTGTGTGTCGTATTAGTACTGGGGGCTAAACCCAACGCCTTCACAATGAGCTATATCCCCGGCATGTTTTTATTTTTTATTTTGAGACAGGGTCTTGCTAAGTCACTGAGTTGCTGGGCTCAACCTTGTGATCCTCCTGCCTCCCTGAGTAGGGGGCCTACAGGTATCTACCACCACAGCCAGGTATTCTTAACTATTTCTTTTTAAAATTTTTACTTTAAAAAGAAAAAAAACAAAATTTCTACACAAGATAATAGGATAGTAACAATAGTTAATACATTGCATATTATCTTTAAATTATTCAAATTACAAGATATCATTTAATTGTCCAAAGAATATTTGCACAAATCTTTCTTTTCAATAAGAGAAATTAGTAGTATAACTATCTTAATTATTTTTGTTTTTCCCTTTTTTCTTTTCTCCTTTCCCCTGAGTTTCTCTTTCCTTTTGAATAGTTTCTTCCCATTTCACAATATCTGTTGTACATTTTGGATCTTATCTACTCTTTCAGCTTCTCACACTAGGGAAACAATACAATGTTTATATATGTGAGTCTGATTTATTTCACTTATGAGTATGGTCAAGTTCTATCCATTTACCTATAAAAGTCTCAAGTTTATCTTTCTTTATGGCTGAGTAGTACTCCACTGTATAAAAAGTACCACGTCTTTTTTATCCATTCCTCAGCTGATGGGAATCTGGGTTGTTTCCAAGACCTAGCTATTAAAAATTGTGCTGCTATGAACATGGGTGCACATATATTGCTTTTGCATGATGTTTTTAATTCTTCTGGGAAGATACCAGAAGGGGAATAGGTAGGTTGAATGAGACCTCCAATCCTAGTTTTTTGAGGAATCTCCACAATGATTCCCCCAGTGGCTGCACCAGTCTGCACTCCCACCAACAGTAGAGAAGGCTTCCTTTTCCCCCATAGCTCCTCCAGCATTTGTTACTGGTTGACTTCTTCATGTTAGCCATTCATTAGAGGATGAGATGGAATCTCAGTGTTGTTTTAACTTACATCTGTCGAATGACCAAAGATGCTGAACACTTTTTCACATATTTATTTGCCATCTGTCTGCCATTTCTTCATCTAACAAGTGTGCATTCATCTCAGATGCCCATTTTTGGATGGGGTCTGTGGATTTAGAGGGTCTGATTTTTTTCAGTTCTTAATATGTTTTAGAGAGGAATTCTTTGTCTGAAGAAACTGCTGGCAAATATTTCTTTCCACATTGTGGGTTGAATGAAATATTTCCTAACTGCACTGCCCAGTTTCCTATCACTGAGACCAACCATACCATACTGTACCATCTCCAGTTGTGAATGGAAATCAAATAGGCTGCAATTCCTCTAGGATTCATGGGGGCTTAGCTCCTCTCAACCCTCAGGAGGGGGCAGGACACTCAGAACCAGGGTGAGCTCAGCCCCTATAGTGTCAGGGTAGCCCTGAGTTGGTCTTGATTCTCTCCAAATTTAGTTTCTTCACTTGGAAAAAGAAAAAATGGAGAGTGGGAACAGAGATTTTTGTTTTTGTTTTTGTTTTTGTTTGTACCAGAGATCAAACTCACGATCAGTGGGCTTGCCAGGCAGGCACTTACACCACTGAGCTAAATGCCTGGCCCTTGGGGGGCAGAGTTTTGATAGAGACAGCCATCACTGATCTTGGTTGGCAGAAGGTGCACCATCACGTGCAGAGTGAGAGCTCTGTGGCCAAATTCACCAGAGAATTGCCGTACCTGATGTTCCTTTCTGGAGGCCAGACACACAACTCATTAGCACCGAACATCTCTGAGGAGTCTTGCCATAAAGAAAGTGGTTGCATGGGGTCATCTAAGCTAACATTTCTCAAATTGCTTTGATCTATGCAAGTCTTTTTCCAGTAGAATAAATGGAAATGCCATCAGAGGACATTAACTTAGCACCGCCTTGAGGTGCAGTTGCCAGCCAGGTGCAGCTCCATGGTATCTACTACACTTTCCCAAATAAATCAACACTTGTCATAAAAAGTCCTAGAAGGCAGGTGTTGTAGTTGGGGTTTACAAGGGAAAAGATTTAATACAAGACACATAACTTACAGGATTATATTATAATATTCACCCAAAGAGTCAAATGCAAAAAAGCACAAGAAATTGGTCCAAACACTAGAGACCCAAGGAATTCAGCTGAGAGCCTGGATCCCATGGCAATGCCCTCTACAAGCCCAGCTAAAGACCGAGAGTCCACGGCAATGTCCTCTACGAGTCCAGCTGGAGGCCTAGAGCCCACAACAATGACTCATGCAGTCTGTGTCAAGGATCTGCACTAGGAAGGCCCAAGGATCAGTGGTAGAAGCTAGAAAGTCTGTACCAGTGGGGTAAAGGCTCTGTGCCAGCAGCTGAGGGATCTGCAGTGGAGCAAGAAAGTGACACTCAAGGTCAGGACTACAGCGCCCCCAAACAGAACCACCGCCATGGTTAGCGACAGCAAGGACTCGAGCTCCTCCAGTGATGAAAACAGCTGAGTTCATATCAGGAAGCCAACGTGACAATCTCTTGCAGCAGAATCGCCAGCACACCCTGTGCCCCTCTAGTTCTCCTTTTATGCTGCTTGACAACAATCCTCAGGGGGGCCTTCCACACCCAGCACCACGCTGACTCAGTTCAGCTGGGTGTCACACGTTGACCATTAGTTCAGCCACCAGAGCCAGTATTAAAGCAAGTGACCTGAATCCCAGGACCAGCAGTGATGCTCTGGAATTCTTCTACAACTCTTCCCTCACTGCTTGGCAACTGTCATCTTTTAGCAGAACAGTTTGAGTGTTCAGACATTAGCTTCTAGTTTCTCCTTTTATTCCTTCCACCTATCTAGATCCGTAACTCTCAAACTTTAGGGTACACGAGAATAATCGTACCCCTGGAGTCAGTGGTAAAAGCAGAGATTTGGCTTTATCTGTAACATATTCATTCTCTTTTCGGAAAAACACGCAACAAGCATGACCATATTAGCAAGATGATGAAAACAGGTGTTCACAGGATGATGAAGACAGATGCATATTATGTTAGTCTCTTTTTTATTATGCTATTACATTAGTCTTTGAACTTCCTTTTAAATCTTCTTCAAAAGAAATAACATTTGAATAACCATAGTTTAGATTTGAATATACTTAGGCATTTCAGGCGTGTTGGGGGTGATTATGTCTCCCATGTTTCTGCCTCATTCACAGACTACCTCTTGTTCCCACCCCACTTCCTCACAGCGCCTCTGGGACCCGGCGCGCAGAGCCTAACCCTGCCTCCACCTCCTTGTCCACAGGACTACAGAGTCAACATTTTCCTGCGGCAGCAGTGGAACGACCCCCGCCTGGCCTACAATGAATACCCGGATGACTCTCTGGACCTGGACCCGTCCATGCTGGACTCCATCTGGAAACCTGACCTGTTCTTTGCCAATGAGAAAGGAGCCCACTTCCACGAGATCACCACAGACAACAAACTGCTGCGGATCTCCCGCAACGGGAATGTCCTCTACAGCATCAGGTAAGCAAAACATGGGGCCCTGGGCTCAGGCCTCAGAACACGCCACACCCACCGCTCTCTGGAATCAGACACTCAGGGAGACACAGATAAACACGGACAGCCCTGCAGTTCAACACCTCTACAGAATAGGAGACCCAGCTGTGCAACATACACTCAGCGAGCAGAATAAAGTCCCACTAGGACTTCTAGGCATGAGGTTCATTATAACCAAGGAGACCAGGGAAGGCATCCTAGAGGAGGGGGAGGGGTTACCCAGCATCTCAAGGGTAATCAAACATGATGACCACTGGCAGGAGCAAAGGCAGAGGCACACACAAATCACCACAGAGGCACCAATCACAGCACCATGCAGTAAACGCTCCTACTGGCTGGGTGGTCCTACTGGCTGCTGTAAACCAGGGCGGCTGGGCCTCTTCCTCAAACTCTTTCTATCCCACTTGCATTGTGTCCAGAGCTGGCCTCCCTTTCCCAGCTGTGGGTTATCCTGCAGACACTGGTGAGGGCTGAAGCTTTCAGACTCTGCCACCCGGCCCCACCTAGGGGCCAACAAGGTAAGGGGGAGTTTGCGTCTTGTGCAAGGGACTCAGAGCTAATCACCTCCCCAAAGCACAGAATCAACGACCAGTGTCCAAGAGATGAGGTGGCCTTACACATGCGGTAATAACAGCACCATTCACTGAGAATTTACTGGCTCTGCAGGTACACTGCACACATTATATTTCATCTTTTTGACTCCAAGAAGTAGGTTTTATTGTGCTCATTTTGCAAGTTATGTAAGTGAAGATCTGATAATGTAAATGACTTGCCAAAGTCCCACAGTTAGCTAGAATGTAGCTCTAATCTTCATTCACCTTAAATATCCAGGTCTCTGGGAGAGGCTGTGCTGACCCTAACCCTCAGAAGTACCTGGGCTCAGCAGAGCAGGCTGGGTAGGGAGGAGCTCAGTAATCTCCCCACTCAGGTTTGGGGACCCAGGGCCTCTGTGGCCCTTCTCACTCCGGGGGCCATCCTCCCTCGTACAGACCAGAAGAGTCACAGGCAGGTCAGGGCTTAGGAATCGGCTACCTAGGCCCAGTGGGGGAGGGGGGCTCTGGTTGGATCTTGCTGCTACCTGGCTAACTTCGCGTCTTCACAAAGCAAAGTCCCAGTGCAACACCACTGAAGGACAAGTCAGCAGAAAGTGATGTTCCCAAGGTCATTCAGCTCCAGGAAATTAACCCAGCATGACAGCTGCCCCACTTTGGAGCTTTTATCTTTGAAACTTCAGTCACAGTCACTTTCCCTTCACTTTTCCCCTCCCTTGCTACTCCCTTCTTTTCTCTCTTCTCTTCCTGCCTCCACCCCTTAGCCTGGCTTACTGTTATCTTTTAGGTTAAGGGGGTGAGCACTGCAGCAGGGTCGGGGGAAGCTCATCAAGGACCCTGTGCAATTGAGGTGTCAGCAGTTAGGGGCCTCAGGGCCCTGGGGCTGGCCTCACAGAGCTACAGTTCCTACCAGAGAACTCAACCAACAACAGAGCCAACACCACTGGGACTCTAAATCCACATGCCACCAGATTCACTTCCTATCCTGGCTGAGCCAGCAGCGTGCTGTTTGCTCTCAGCTAAGTCTCCAGAGTGCTCACTATCAGAGGAAGGTGCTGGCCTGATGCCCCAGGAGCCCTTTCTCCTCTGTTCCCCACAGCAGGCAAAGCTTATGTAGACAAAGCCTTTCAAGCTGGAGCCTTGTATCCCAGCCTGAGCTACACGCCTTGCATTCTGCCAAAGGATCTCCCTCTGGCCCCAAGGCTGCAGCCTTTGCAAGAGCTGAATGAGCCAAAATAAACAGTCATCCCAGAATCCTGGGGAGCCCAGCACTTTCCTCCTGACTCCAGCAGGAGCCTGCAGATGTGAGTCTACTGTGTGTGGTTGCCCTGTAGGCAGGGGCCTCTTCCACCTCTTCCAAATGACTTCTGAGGAGCCCAGGACCTGCTGCAGGTACACCTGGGGTGCCTGAGGCCTCGGGATGCCTAATGCAGCTCTGCTGAAACCTGGGGCTCTGTCTCCATCTGAGGGCTCTTCGGAAGGCTAGGGATGGGGGCAGGCCTTGCCCCTGGCTACCTGCTAGAGACAGATCTCTAGAAGCCAGACTCCAAGAAACCCAGAAGTTCCTCTGATTTTTGCAACCCTGGGAAATGCACTGTACCTCTCTGAGCCTCCACTTCCACATCAGGAACTCGGAAATGCTCATCTACTAATGCAGTAAACACTGGTTCCCTGGCTTCCTCTTCCTATCCTGGACAACCAACGTCCTCACCATAACTAGGAATGGAGGCTCAGCTCTTCCGGATCCAACACCCTCCACTCTTCTCTTCCCAGGATCACCTTGACCCTGGCCTGCCCCATGGATCTGAAGAACTTCCCCATGGACGTGCAGACATGTATCATGCAACTGGAAAGCTGTAAGTCCCTTGCACAAGACTCAAACTCCCTCGTTACCTGTGGATAATTTCCCTAATAGCTGAACCCCAGGGGATTATTGTGATAACTCACAACACTAGATGAGGTCTTTGCTTTTAGAAAATTTAAGGAAAATGTAATGGCTGATACACCGACTGAGGTCCAACCTTCAGAGTCTGCAATGTTCTCCAAAGAGCCTAATTATCCCATATTCCTTGTGGGTGTGCTCACTGAGAATGGGGGAGAGGTGGTCAAATAAGCCAGGGTCCCTGAGCCCCCAGAGATGCTTCCCTCAGCAGAGAAGGCAGGCAAAACGCTGTACAAATAACTCAAGTGGTAAGTGTGTTGTCAGAAATATGAAATGCTTAAACTAGGTGTGGTGGCACATGCCTGTAATCCCAGCACTTGGGAGGCTGAGGCAGGAGGATCATTGTGAGTTTGAGACCAGCCTACGTTACAAAATAAGCCCAAGCCCAGCCTGAACTGAACAGGGAGACCTTATCTCAAAAAAAAAAAAAAAAAAAAACCACCAAAAATGTTCCTCCTCGAAGGAGTACTTCTGTCTGACGGGGAACAGAGGACCAGGACTGGGACAGATGGGACAGCTGATCTTGCATGGCAACCACAGAAGTCTCACTCACTGAAAAGTATAGGCCACAGCCCAAGCACACAGGTGGCAGGAAGTAACAGACCCTCTCCTTAGGGCACCCGCCTCTAAGGGCAGTCAGCACCCACCAATTCTGAGCCCCTCCTTACATCACACCTCGCCCTGCTCCCAGCATGAGTCCCACCAAGACAGCATGCAGCAATAGAGTTGTCCTCCAACCGAAGTGGCTGGCGAGGGAGCACACAAGCAGAAACTACAGGCTTCCGCTTTGTGTCACCTTGGGGAGCACAGAAGGAGCTCAGGCAGGGTGCGGAAGGGTAGGGAGAGAGTGGAGAGGGCCAGGGGTAGATGCAAACAATTCAACCCATTTTAACCGCTTCGTGGGGGCAATTCCTAAATGGCAACATGGGCTCAGGCATTGCATCCAGTGTCTCATGCCTCTCTCAGCCTCCATCCCTAACCACCCTGACAAGCTTCAAACAAGTGCTCCTGGGTAGTGACCACTGACTCTTCTGATCCCATGCAGTTGGATACACCATGAATGACCTCATCTTTGAGTGGCAGGAGCAGGGAGCTGTACAGGTGGCGGACGGACTCACCCTGCCTCAGTTTATCCTGAAGGAAGAAAAGGACTTGCGGTACTGCACCAAGCATTACAACACAGGTAGGTATGAGCAGCCTCTCTCCTGAGATCCTGCCCCAGCCAGGACCCTTTATTCCATCACTGATTCCCCAGCACTTATGAAATGCCCAGGACAGACACGACTCTGGATTACCAGAAAGGTACTCTGGAATGTTCTTCCTGTGAGTCTTGGAATGAGTAGCTTAAGCCAAGGCCTCATGTTATAAGAAGCCCGTCCAGACCTCATCATGGTGGAATTTATATTTGTAATCACAGAGAAAAGTCATTGGAATTCCAGTAAGTAATTCCAATCTGCCTCTTCCAGTGCAACCCACATCGAGAATGAAAAGATAAACACGTATCTATAGTGGTAGGGAGCTAAGGGGCTCCTAAATCCAGTCGGAATAATAGCTAATCGGAAGAAAGGCCTGACCCAGGGCAGAACCCACATTTTATTAATTCATGAATCGGTGAGTGGCTTGGCAATGAGCGACCGTTCATGAGTGCTGTGAGCTGGGCTCAGCAGAATAGGAGCTAGCAAAGAGTGAGTTATGCAGAAAGAATGATCTGCATGGCACAGCCTGAGGAAGGTTTGGGGTCAGTGCCTCAGCTTTGATGCCTGGCCTTCATGCCCTGAGACTTCCGGGGTTCTTTTCAGAGCCTCAGTCTCAAGCGGACAGCATGTGTCACTCGGCCGAGCTCACTCTTGCTAGTTGGGAGCTACAGGCGGGGCATCACTGACTGCCGCACTGCTTCAAAGACTACATATCAGCACCTTGGTTAGACCCATTTGCACTGCTGAAAGCCAGCTGAGAGGGTAAAGAAAGATCCTTGCCAGCTCTGTACAAATCAGTAAACAGAATCAGGGCCAGGTTCAGCCAAAATGGAGACAAATGCTCCTTTTTCAAGGAGAGCCGTCCTGGTAGCCCCCACAACACGAGATTAGCAGGGAAACTGCTGAAGGTTACCTATTCCGGCAGTGGAAGCCACCTGTCGTATCTGTCACACGGGAACGGTATTCTGATGGGGGAAGGTGTGTGGGTAAGGAGCCCATGAGACCTCTTAAGCAGGAGCCCAGAGGAAAAGGTCCAGGAGGCTGGAAACCACAAAGGGACAGGAAACCACACTGCTGCACAACTGTCCCCATCCCCACAGCCAGCACAGCCTTTGCTAGGGGATCATGCACCCGCCTCAGACTGGGAGCCAAGCCGCTGGGGTAAGTGGCAGGAGGGTGGCAGGGAGCCAGTGCCAGCTGGCAGGTGAGAGAGCTGCTGTCTGAATCCAACTGAGCAGAGGAGAGGCAGGCGGTGGGCTGCTGTGGGCCAGAGAGGAAGTGAGACAGAAGGACCCAGGGACACCATTGCAGGCCCCGGTGCAGACAGAAACCAAAACAAAAGGTGGCTTGGCCTCTGGCCTGTCTGAGGCAGCTGCCCTCTTCGGGGTCAGAACCTTAAAAGGTCCATTCTTATTGCCATGCAAGCGAGTCCAGGAAGCAATGAACATTAACTGCAGACCCCAGCAGCGACTCCCACATCCAGCAGTTACAACCAATCCCCTCAGACCAGGCCCTTCCTCATCTCCATAGCACTGGCTTTTGAAATTTTCTTTTGATATGCTATTAACAAATAAAACATAAAATGATACATATTTAAGATATACAACCTTAGAAGCCCAGCATGGTGGCACACGTCTACAATCCTCAGCACTCAGGAGGCTGAGGCAGGAGGATCACTGCAAGTTCCAGACCAGCCTGGGCTACAAAGTGAGCTCAAGGTGAACCTCAACTGCATAGTGAGACCCTGTCTCAAACAGACAAAAAAGAAAAATCTGTAGATGTACAACCTGATGTTTTGATAAACACACACACTGTGTATATGTATATGATAAGCATACAATTTTATATACACATACACTGTGAAGTAATCACAAACCAAGTACAGTGGCACACACCTGTAACCCCAGTGGTTCCGGAAGCCGTGGCAGGAAGATTTTAAGTTCAAGACCAGCCTGAGCAACTTTAGCGAGGGCCTGTCTCATCAATAAACCGGTAGGGCTGGGGAGGTAGCTCACCGTGAGGACGGATTCGATGCCCAGGGCCTTTAGTCGCTTCCTTCATCACCGAAGCAAAACTGACACTGCGACTTAAAGCAGGAGAGGATGAGTCCGGCTCACATTTGAGAAGTTTCAGCCTGCACGGTTGGCGCCGGCTGGAAGGGGCTGCGCAGGGGAAAGCTGCTCCCCTCACAGAGAACCGGAAGCAGAGCGCGGCAAACGTAGAAGACACTTCCGGGTCATAGGTCACACTCCCGGTGACCAGTCCCTTCCTAGTGGACCCTAGTGAGCAGCAAGGCAGCTATCGCACTGCCGGAACCCAATCACATGCCAGGTGCAGGAGGCTTTAGATCTGAACCATAATTCTCGGAGTCACACACACAAAAAATCCCTGAAGGGAGGCTGGGTGTGGTGTGCACACCTGTAACCCCAGAACTCAGGAGGCTGAGGAAGGAAGATTGCTGAGTTTGCAGCAAGCCTGAACTATACACAGGGACCCTATCTCAAAAAAAAAGAAGAAGATGATGATGATGATGATGATGGAGAAGAAAAAAGGGGAAAAGAGAGAGGGAACAGAAGGCCTGCCCCATGGATTTGAAGAGTTAAAAAAATAAATAACCCCAGTATTTAACATATCCATCATCTCCTCAGCTGCCAATATGATATGTGGCAGGAACGCTCAATGTCTGCCCTCTGAGCAAATGTCAAATACACTTCCGCGTTAGCGGGCATCACACTGCCCTCCAGTTAGACCTACAGCAATTGTTGGTCTTGCATAACTGCGTCTTCAAAGCTTTCAATCAGCCTCCCCACCCACCTCTCACCCTAGCCAGCCCCTGGCAACAGACAGCTCTCCTTGCTGTGTCTGAGAAGCTGACAGACATACAATCCCTGGGTCAATGAGATCACATAGCACCGCCTTTCAGGATGCAGCTTTTTTCTTTAGTATGGAAAAGTCCTCCTGGTTCCTCCAAGTCGCTATGGCAGGATTCCTTCTCTGTTGAAGCCAAATAACGTCCCATTTTCCCTATCCACTCATCTGTTGAAAACCACTTTCTGATCCAGCAGCCGCGTTTCTAGAGCTGATCCCAGGGAAATGGAAGGAATGTTTCAAAGTGTTAGCTGCGGGCCTGGGGATTTAGCTCAGTGGCATAAGCACCTGCCTTGCAAGCAGGCGGTCATGAGTTCGATCCCCGGTACCGATAAAAAAAAGAAAAAGACCAAAAAAATTTTCAAAAAAAGGGGGCTGGGGATTTAGCTCAGTGGCATAAGCACCTTCCTTGCAAGTGTGTGGTCATGAGTTCAATCCCTGGTACCAATAAAAACGAAAAAGACAAAAAAAAAAAAAATAAAAAATAAAAAAACAAAGTGTTAGCTGAACTCTTACGTTCACGGCAGCGTTGTTCACCAGAGCCAAGTTACAGCGACAGTCTGAACCAAACGCTGACACTCCATTCACCATCTCACTTGCTCCTTCCTGTTTGCTGTCAGTGAGGGCTGAGCTCTAAGCTAGGCCTCACAGAACAAGGACAAAAGACCAGCTAGGTCCTGACCATGTGGGGCAGACAGGGAGTTCCCAAGTCACTTAGTTACCATGGTTCCATAGAAGGGAACGGAGACCCTGCCAGGGGATGAACCGCCATCCCGACTCCCAGGACCACAGATGCGGGAGCACCAGCTCAGGGCCCAGTGCAGAGATGGGAAGGGAGAGGCCAACTGCCAGATGGCTCACCCAGTGACACCTTCGCCATGCCTACCTGTGTTCACATGAAAAGAGCCGAGGGACACAGGAGCAAGAGGCACCTGCACGTGTGAACCGTCATAGAAAAGGGGGCTTCCGCTGGGAAGACAGGCTGGGGCACTGCAGGCAAAAGAGGGGGACCAGACTGGAGCCTCCACAACAGGAGGAAAGGAAGGAGCAGTGCTGGGGGTCAGGAAGAAAGGTGAGAGCCCACTGCTGCAGGGCAGGGAACGGAAGCTGAACTTCCTTCTCCAAGGGGAGAGACAGACGTGAAGGGTTTTACTAGAGGAGAGAAGGGCAAGTCACCTTTGGGGGAAGGTAAGTGGCACATGGGGAGTGGACGCCACACTGACACACTGTTAGGTTAAAGTCCCAACGAAGTCCTGACGGGTGGCAAGTCCCATTCCCCATCCCCAGCACTTATAAGATGCAAGGTCTGGGCTAAGTCCTCCATACACATGATCTCATTTTCCCTTCCACACCGCCACTGTGTGGGGAACCATGTGAAATAGGTATTGTTAATCTTTTTATTACCAGTAGCATCACCCCTCGGTAGGAATAGGGGCAAGGTTCCAGGACACCGCTTCCCTGACCTGGATACCAGAATCAGAGGCTGCTGGAGTCCCTCGTCTGCAGTGGAGTGGTGTCTGCGTCTAACCTGGGTACACCCTGCTGTGTACACGCAGTCATCTCTAGATGACTCACAAACCCTATTCATTGTAAATGCTGTGCTAATGGGTGTATGCCGCGTCATTAAGGGAATCCTGACAAGCAAAGAGTCTGTATCATCAGTGCAGGTCTTCCTTCTGCATATTTTTTACCTGCAGCCGGTTACATGTGTGGATATGGAACTGGGGATACAGAGGCCCAAGTGAAAGATGGACCGCTGGTTTACACAAATGGTGAAGCCGAGGTGCAGAAGGGTACAAACACTTGCCTAAGGATGCAGCTCAACTGCAGTCATTTGGGGATAAAACCTTTGTTCCTCTCCACCAGGCTATGCACGTTCCTGCTCACTGTACCTTCTTGCAGGTAAATTCACCTGCATCGAGGCCCGGTTCCACCTGGAGCGGCAGATGGGCTACTACCTGATTCAGATGTACATCCCCAGCCTGCTCATCGTCATCCTCTCCTGGATCTCCTTCTGGATCAACATGGATGCAGCACCCGCCCGTGTGGGCCTGGGCATCACCACCGTGCTCACCATGACCACGCAGAGCTCTGGCTCCCGAGCGTCCCTGCCCAAGGTAAGTGGCCCTGCCCGAGAGCACAGGGCACCTGAAGAAGCAGAGAGGACAGGGACAGCACTGTCTCTCTGCCCTGCCTGTGACCGGGTCTGGCATTCTGACCCATCAACTTCACACCCAACATCACCTTCCGCGCATCCCAAGACACCTCCTCCAGCTCCGCTCTCTACCCGCATTAGGCACACACTGGGCTCCATTTACTATTAAAACTTTGCATAGAGGTTAGGGATTTAGCTCAGCAGCTCAAGTGCTTGCCTGGTAAGCACGAGGTCGTGAGTTCGACCCCTGTTACCAGAAGAAAAAAAAGAAAACTTTATATAAACAAAGCAATGTTTTTACAGTGCCTAATGCAGTGGCACATTCATCAGTTTCACCCACTCAGGAGGTTGAGACAGAAAGATCCCTTGAGCCTAGGAGCTCAAAGGCAGCAGGGGCAGCATAGCAAGACCCAGTCTCAAGAAAAACAACAAAAATCTTTAAAACTCAACTTCTCAACTTCATCTTATCCTCTATTCTGCTTTTCGGGGTAAGGACAGCACTCTGCTTCTGTCACCATTAAGGGTCAGTATCTGCTGTCAGGAATTTCCGAGGCCAGAGTCACAGAGATCTGATACTGTATCCAGAGGATTCAGCATAGACTGGTACTCACCGTAGGATTCATGGCAGCAGCGTCTGAATACACTGTTAGAGTACGAGGGAAGGAACACAGCAGAGCTGGATGAGCCCATACACAGCTTTCTTACCCTTCTCCTCCTGTGAGGAGTCCCAGCGAGCAAACTGGCCCCTGCACAACATGCAGACCTGGGTGTGATGCTTCTGTGCTGAGAGTCAGGAGGAACGGGGCACCCAGAGTCTTCCTTAGGGGCTGGGTGTACCAAGAGGAACATTTCCTGAAGACCCTCCATACCAGCCCAGTGTCAATCTTGCAAGCAGGTTTTCCTTAAGACAGTGGTCTCATGCCTGCTATTTTCAGCCTCTTCTGAACAAACTTCAGTCTGTTTCTACATTTTTTTTAAAAATAGGGTCTCACTATGTAGTGCAGGCTGGCCTGGAATTCACAGTGATCCTCCTGCCTCAGCCTCCTGAAGCCTTAGATTACAACTGTGTGCCGTGACACTCCATGGTTTCCACATTCCTAAGGCTCAACACCACATTCACTGTGAACTCTCACACTGTACCCTGCCTTATTCACTGCTCGTGCTAAACAGGGCATCTTGCTCCATTGCCCCTTATCCTAGACACACTCTGGTCCGTTCACTCCCGACACCAGACCCAAGGTTCCACTTCACCCCTCACTGCGTCATCCTGACGTTGGACACAGCATCCTGTTCTGGCCACTGCCAACCCAGACCTCCCATTCCGCTTCATTTACTTTGTCCACTGGACAGAGAGCTCTGCTTCCTTTCCTGCTAACATCAGCCCCCACATTCGCCTCCCTTCACTCCCTTTAAGGTCCACATTCTGCTCGCTTCATTAGTAACGCTGGGTGCTTCCCTACTCTCCTGTCTGCAGTGCTCTCCACCTCATTCACGGCTCTGGTGGGAACCATTCCGCTCTGCTCCCTGAGCACCGGACACGGCAGCCTGCCTGCCCTTGAGTGCCGGACACCCACTCGCTTCCCCTGGCCGCACACCCCACTTCCTACCGGCACCACACCCAATGGTCTGCTCTCAGATCATTAATATCCTTCACTGCTTTCAGCGTTTTTTATCACTTCACATTTATTTTCCTCTCCCTCCCTCATAGATAGATAGATAGATAGATAGACAGTAGATAAGTAGGTTCTAGGCAGGTAGATGCAATTTTGGGTGAATCTTTTTAAGTCTATACAGATATCGTGACAATTCAGTCAAGATAAGGAAAAAGGATGATGACATTTCATATCTAAATAATTGCCATTAATTCAATAATAATTGAATCAGAAATAATTGATTAAAAATAATTCAGTGACTCGGTACAATATAGAACCTCTGTTTAAATTTCCCTAGTTGTCAAAAAAAATAAATAAATCAAGGATTCCCCTCCACATGGCACATGGTTGGTCTGCTTTCTCTCTTTCAATCCAGAGCAGTTTGTATACTGTTCTTTTCTTTCCCATGACGTTGACCATTCTGCTAACTTTTAACATGTAACTGACATTCCCAGCCAGGCATGATGGCACACACCTGTAATTCCAGCTGAGGCAGGAGGAGGCTGAGGCAGGAGGATTCCCCATGAGCTTGAAGCCTTCTGGGCTACATAGTGAGTTAAAGGTCAGCCTAGGCTGCATGGTGAGACCATGTTTCAGAAATACCAACACAGAGACACAGACATTCTGCTTCGTTCGCCATCATCAGTGACCCCACACTCTCCTCTCCTGACACTTACAAAGGAACTCGGCACCACAGTCACTCAGCAACCCCGGGCCTCAGATTCTGCCGCATTCCCTGCAGGGATGCTCGACAGCAGCCTCTGATGAGCCTAAACACCTGACAGCACGTTCTTCTCTGTTCAGTTATAACAGCGAACACAAAATTCTGTTACCTTTTTTGATAATAATGCTGGGCTCAGCATCCTCTCCCATTCATGGTGAACACTAGACTCGTTGGCAATGTTTGTTACCAACACTCTGCATTCTACTCCATTCATTTTTTTATTCATTCACTCTTTTTAAAGAATAGAATTCAGAGACTTTGATATGATCAAAAAATTGTACGACCTCATCTGTATAATTATCTACACACAGTATCCAATTCCAGGATATTTTCATCACCCCAAAAAGAAATCTTATACTTACCAAAAGTCACTCCTTCCCTCCTCCCACCAGCCAGCGACAAACAGGAACAGACACTGTCGCTGTGGACTTGCCCGTTCTAAACATCTAGAACTGTGCATGTGTGGTCTTTTGTGATTGTCTTCTTGTAATTACCATTACTTCCCCTTTGGGGCAGTCAATAATACTGCTGCATGAATCACTTTTTGTTGCTGCAACAAAACAGCCCACATCCTCAGTTTAAAGGAGAAGGAGTTTATTTGGCTCACGACTTTCAAGGATTTAGTCCACAGTCAGCTGGTTCCAAGACAGAAGAGGCCTGGCAGGAGTGTGTGGTGAGGGAAAGCAGCTCCCCCAAGGCAGCCCGGAGGCAGAGACAGTCAGAAGGGCAGTGGGTCCTGTGGCACCCCACCAGTGACCCCGTGGTTCCCACCAGGCCCCACTTCCTAAAATCTTACTCAGCTATGTACTCATCTGTGGGGAGTATGGTGCCCCCTAATCCGATCACTTTTTTAAAGCCCCATTTCTGAGCTGGGCATGGTGGTGCTTGCGTATAATTCCAGCATCATCAGAAGCTGAGCTAGGAAGATTGCAAGTTCAAAACCAGCCCATGCAATTTAGTGACACCATGGTTCAAAATTTTTAATTTAAGAAGACCAGATGTAGCTCAATGTGAAGGCCTGGGGATAAATCTCCAGTACTGAAATTTTTTTTTAAGCCCCAACCTTGAACTCATTAAGAGTTTTGGGGAACATTTTGAATCTAAGCCATAACATTTTACCCCTGCTCCAAAGGCTCATATCTATCTCACCATATAAAATGCACTTCCATCATCTCCAAGAAGTCTCAACAGCTCCAGCATTGCCGAGAAGTTTAAGTCTGAGGCCTCTCCTGAGAGTCACAGCAAACCCCGAGCTGTGGGCCCTTGTAAAACTCAAAAAGGGAGTTACAAGCAGGTGTGCAGTATGCCTGAGACCTCAGCACTCTGAGGCTGATGGGGGAGGAAGGCCCAGGGTGAGGAGACAGAGACAGACAGAGACAGAGATGAGACAGAGACAGCTGTCAAACATACAGGGACACAGAATCATTATTTTCACAAATATTTCTATTTTAAAACAGCAACAGGGGAATAGAAAGGAGTCAGATCAAAGCAAGACCTAACACCATCAGGGGAGCTGCCAACTCCTGTAGCTCCGTGGCCAGCAGCCAGGATGGGGATCCCCGGGGCTCAGCGGCCCCACCTCCGTGGCCTTGCAGTAGAAGCTCATGTACCTCTCTCCCAGGGTGGCTCTGCCAGCTGCCTGGTGCTTTTCTGTGTTTTGTTTGTTATTTAGCGGATGTTTTACACTTCTGGTATCTCCAACTTTTGGGCATCTCCACTGCCCTTTGGCTTCACATTGATAGCTTCGTACATCACTCTCAGGGGCACATTGCCTGGCCTGGCTGCCCCAGACTTCCTTCTGGGCCCCCAGGACCCCATCAATCTTGCTTTCTGTGGGCCTGATAAACTAGCACCTACTGGATGATGCCAAGGTCAACGGCCAGCTCAAGCAGAGCAGTGTCCCTCAGGAAGAGGCTGCATCAGCCTCGGAGCAAGCTTGGGAATGCGCTGCCCTAGGAGGCCTGAGTGCACACCATATCCTGGGCTCTCTTTTCAAAGCATCTTTCCTCTTTCGGAAAGAGTCTACCTTTTCATATCCTCTCTAGCAATGTGTGGGGTCTGGCTGTTTCCTGAGATCCCTTCCAGGAATCTTTCCTATTACCCAGAAGTAAAATTGCTTTTTAAGAAAACACTAATCTGGCTGGGGATTATAAAGCTCAGGAGCATCAGCACCTCCCTGGCAAATGCAAGGTTCTGAGTTTGATCCCCAGAAATAAAAGGAAACACCTTACACCAACTTCACAGGCACTTCCTTTTCACCAAAGCTGCCCAATTTTTACATCCTTTGGCTCTGTTGGTTTTTTTTTTTTCTCCTGATTTTTATTGTAAATTTGGTTCAAAGCAGCCAGCAAGTACCCATACTACAGCCCGAATGTGTCGGTGCCTTGAAATTTTCTCTACCAGGTTAGTCCTGTCTTTCAATTCAGTCACACACAGAGTCTCAGGTTTTGAATTCTCCATGTGCCTCAGGCTGGCCTCAAATTCTGAACCCTCCTGCATCAGCTTCCCAAATGCTGAGATAACAGGTATGGACCACCACACCTGCCTTTCACGTTTTACTAGAATCCTGATTCCCATCTAAAACCTCAGAAACCAGGGCTTTACTGTTCACATTCCTATCAGCATTCTGGCCTTCTGAGCTCAAGCCAGAGTCATTTATCAAGTTCTGCTTAAAGCATTCTAGGGCTTCTCTAGCCTGCAACTCCAAACCTTTCCAAAGTGCTCCTGAAAACTAGTTCTACCGGCTTCCAAAACACACAGGCATAGTCACAGAAGCATCACTTGTGTTCCCAGTTTTCTGTATTAGTCAGTTTTTGGTCACTGGAACAAAACACCCAACTCCCACAACTGAATATCTAGAAAGAGAAGTTAATTTTGCCTTATGGTTTCAGGGTGTTCGGCCCACATGTGGTCGGCTGGCTCCAAGGCACAAATGCATGGCGGGAGGACACAACAGGAAAAAGCATTTATCTTGTGGCAGCTGGACGCAGACAGAAGGCAGCAACCAGGGACCCAGGTCACCCCTCGGTCACACCTTCAGTGACCCACCTGTCCCAACAGTCCCTTATCCTGAGAGCACATTTAACTTTAAGCTCTTAACTTGGAACTCATCAACAGATTGGTCCACTGATGACCAAAGTGTCCCCAGGATCCTACCTCCAAACACAGGAGACTGTGGGGGAATATTTGAGGTCTAAGCCATAATGGCTGCCATGAACATCTATGTGTAAGTTTCTGTATGGACATGTTTTAAATTCTCATAGGTACAAATAGCTAAGAGTGGAACTGTCAGGTCATAAGTTAACTATGTGTGTAACTTTCTAAGAAATTGCCACACTGGTGATGCCTAAGTGATGACACATTTAACAACCCCAAAGGGTTCAAATTTTTCTATATGCTCACAATCACTTTATGGGTGTGTGTGTGTGTGTGTGTGTGTGTGTGTGTTACTGGTGATTAAGCTCAGGATCTTTATCACACTAAGTTACATCCTGAGCTCTTTTTTTATTTTTTGTTTTGATATAAGGTCTTGCTAAATCACCTAATTGTCCAGTGTGGGCTCAAACTTGCAATCCTCCTGCCTCAGCCTCCCACAAGGTTGTGCTTACAGGCGTATACCACCATATCACCATGACTGGCTTATTATATTTTTTTATTGTGGCTACTGAAATGGATGTGAAGTGGTATATCATAGTTTGATTTACATTTTTCTAATAAGTAACAATGGTGAGCAACTTCTCGTGTGCTTATTGGCAATTTGGTGCCTGTGTCTATTTAGATCACCTGTCCTTTTAAAACTTGGGTCATTTCTTTTATTATTGCTGAAATGTAATAGTTATTTATATATTCAAAAGTGTAGAGTTTATCCGATATATAATCAGTAAGTGTTTTTTCCTATTGTCTGTGTTGTTTTTCCATATGCTCGATAGCATCCTTTATATACAAAGTTTTTAATTCAACATTCTAATTTATCTTTTTCTTTTGTTGCTTGCAATCGCGGAATCATGTTTTAGAAACTATTGCCTAATCTGAGGTCTTAAAGATTTACATGTGTGTTTTCTTGTAAGAATTTTACAGTTCACCTCTTACATTTAGGTCTTTGGCTCATTTCAATTTTATATACGGTGTGAGGGAGGGGTCTAAATTCATCCTTTTCTGTGTGACTATCCTTTTGTCTCCACACTCTTTTTTTGAGAAGGTTATTTTTCCACCACAGAATTGACACCCTTGTTAAAACATTCATTGATCACAGGCCCTCGGAATTCTTGGCTCTCGATTCCATCCCAGGCACCTGCATGTCTCCCCTTCTGCCAGCATCACGCTGCTTCCAACAGTTGAGAAAGACAGTGTGAGGCTTCCAAATTCATTTTTCAAGATTATTTTTCCAATTATTGAAGTCCTTTGTCTTTGCATATGAACATGAATAGGAATTTCAGAATCAACTTGTCAACTTATGCAACAAAAAGCTGGAATTTTAGTGAAAAAAATGCTTTGACTCTATAAATGAATATTGGGAAGATTCCATCTTGACACTCTCCCACCTCCAAACTCAGGGATGACGTCTTATTGATTTAGGCCATTTTTCATTTTATTCTACAAAGTTTTCTAATTTTGAATGTGCAAGTCTTGCACTACTTTTATTAACTTTCCAGCTGTTTTCTTTTTCTCGCTGTCTGTCTGTCTCTCTCCCTCCGTCCTTCCCTCCCTCTCTCCCTCTCTCTCTGGCACTACAAATTGAACCCACAGCCTTCACGTGGGGCTACATCCCCAGCACTTTTTATTAGACACGTTTCTCACTGTGTCACTAAGCGGCCCAGGCTGGGCTCCAACTTGCGATCCTCCTGACTTAGCCTCTTGCAGTTGCTGGGATTACAGGCATGAACCACACCCCCAGCAGTATTTTGTTCTTTTTGGAAGTATCATCAATGGAACTGTTTTTAAACCAGGCATAGTGATGCATACCTATAATCCCAGCCCTTGGGAGGCTGAGGCAGGAGGACTGTCACAAGTTGGAGGCCATTCTGGGCTACCTAGAAAATTTAAGGCCAGCCTGAACTCCATAGCAAGACCTTGTATAAAATAAAATAAAATAAAATAAAATAAAATAAAATAAAATAAACCTAGTAATTTTTAAAGCCTCTTTAGGATTTTCTTTACACAAGATCATGAGACCTACAAATAGTGACAGTCTCACTTTTTCCTTTCTAACTGAGTGCCATTTGTTTCTTGCCTAGTTCCTCTGGCTAGACTTCCCAGTACACTGAAGAAATGGGGAGAGAGTTCATCAGTGCCTGGGACCTGTACCTCTCCCCGCCTTGCTGAGGGGCTCTGGGTTGAGACACAGTTCCACACTCAGCCAGGCAATTTACAACTCTGCCTCAGCCTTCACTTCTGAGTGCTCAGGGATCAGAGTCACCCCAGGGTCAGAGTTTGGGACCTCCTCAGGTCTTCCTGGACCTGCACACAGATCCCCCAAGGATACGTCAGGGCTTTTCGGAGTCTCCCATGGGCATCTCTCATCACCCAGCTTTCCCAAAGGGATAGAAAGCAGAGCCCCAGCTGGAGCTGCAGAGAAGGTCCGAGGCCAGCCAGAGCTACACAGCGAGGCGCTGTCTCAATCAAGGGGAGGAGAGCAGTCCAGGTAGCAGACTAAGTGTCTGCACTGCGTCAGCTCCAGTCAGGTCCATAAACACAGCCTTGGGGTGGATTCAAGGACAGCCACCAGATGGTCAAAGGACGGCAACACCCCGGACACAGGGCTTGAAGAAGCCCACTCTGGTCTTCCCTGTCCGCTGGCCGCCAGATGGACGCTTTGGAGTCTACTTTCAGGCTGCTCAATTTCAAGGCTATGGTGAGCTGAATGGCTAGTGAAGGGACAGACCAAATCAAATCCCCGCAGAGCCCCAAGGGAAGCGGAACCCGATGTCCCTACGGAAAGCTGTACAGGGATATTCACAGCAGCACCGCTTATGATAACCGAAAGGTGAAAGTAAGGCCACTCGCACAGGCACTAACAGCACACGTAGATTTATTCTCACTAGGTCTTAGGAACCTCGGCATAAAACCCTTTTTTCCCCATCTTCTTCTTAAATTGAGAACTTTACCCTTTCACCTGTAGAACACGATGGCTTCTCACTGGCATATACAAATTTTCAGTGTCTCTACCCTTGCACTTTGGCGTCATTATTAAGTAAAATAAGGTCACTTGAACACAGGCGTTACGATACCCAAACATTCACTTGGCCACCCAGAAGCTGCTGGGGTCCGGGTGTTACCCAATGTGAAATGCTGAACAAAAGGGATGAGTCGGTAATCCAAGCACGTAGGAGGCTGAGGCAGGAAGTCTGCTGTGAGTTCGAGTCCAGCCTGGGCTACAGTGTAAGTTCAAGGCCAGTTTAAACTGCATAGGGAAACCCTGTCTCAAAAAGAAAAACAAAAAACAAGGGCTGATTCATTCTGGGCTGGATGGGGCAGCAGACGAGATCTCATCCCCCTGCACAGATGTATGCCATTTTAAACGGAGAGACTATTTCTGGAATTTCCCATCAGAATTGCAGGACTCTGGTTGGCCACAGTAACAAACAGAAAGCCAGGAGGTGACACCACGGGTGAGGAGAGGCTGGGCCTGAATTCCACTCACCTGCGTCCCGCCTCTTGCCCCAGGTGTCCTACGTGAAAGCCATTGACATTTGGATGGCAGTCTGCCTGCTCTTCGTGTTCTCGGCCCTGCTGGAATACGCTGCCGTCAACTTCGTGTCTCGGCAGCACAAGGAGCTGCTCCGATTCAGGAGGAAGCGGCGACATCACAAGGTAGGCCTGGGGTCACTGCCCGCCCGTGGGACTCGCCCGGAGGTGGGTGCCAGGGCCCCCAGCTGCCCTGCTGTGGGATGCTTGCCTCCTGTGACGCTGACCTGCACAACACAGGTGTGAACAGGGCTGGAAGGACGGCAGAGCCTCTTCCCCTCCCCTCCCATCACTGATGACCTGGTCAGGCGCGTAGGAGTGGCTCTCACAACCCTGCGGGCACCACTGCAGAAGTTACCAGGTTCCTTTTAGAGGCAGAACAAATTAGGCAGATGTTGATGGATCGAAAGATGTAGGCGGGGGTGGGGAAGGTGGTTGCTGGGTCAAGGGGAAGGTGTTATTACTCGTTATCTTCAAGCCCACTGAATTGACTGGGCTCCAGAAGAAAACTGCACCACGAGGTCAGATCTTAAAATAGAATGTCCAGGTTCCAAGCTTTTATTTTCTGTTCCAAGAGAGAAGCAAAAGCAAGACCCTCCTCCTACCCCAATATTGGGCAGGTCATCCCTCAAAATCACCAGTACCTGTCAACTCAGAGGCTATGATTCAATCCAAAAATGCCCCCCATAGAATGTTAGAACAAACCATTTCCAAGTTTGGTTTGGTTTCGTAGAGACAGGCTGGCCTTGAATTTGGGATCCTCCTGCCTCAGCCTTCTGAGTGCCAGCAGAATAAGCATGTGCCACTGGACCTGGTCTCCACACCCCGCATCTCAGCTGCTTCCCCACAGACCTTTCTTTGCCTTGGGATAAGAGAACCCGCTGTCTTCTGGAGCCTCAGGGTCACATCTCTTTTCCCTTGGCAAGCTGAGCACCAACACCCATGTATTTGTCTTAGTTCCTCACATGCGCAGGGCTGCAGAGGCCACCGTGTCCCTTTCCTGGCTCGCTCTCCCCAAGGCCACTGCTCAGCACTGCCCCTCATTGTCCCGCCCTTGGCTGGAGCGTCTCTCTCTGACACCTGATTGAGGTCCTCGGTTACAGTTTTCATACGTGTCTGTGCAGCCTGCATCCTCCAAGGGCCACACCTAGGACGTTCTGTCCCTCAGGAAGGTCCCGGCTTGGACTGCACCTGCCCAGAGGACGGGGTTCTGACCCACGTGCCTCGAGAAGGGGATGCACATACGGCGCTGTGCCAGCGAAGGCCGTGGGCTAACTGAACTGGATTTCTAGCCTTCCAGACAGGAGTCCTGATTCAGCTCAAGCCCCAATGATGAGCTCGGCGCTGTCACCAGCGCCTGATGATGCCTGACACGCAGGGCATGGGTACTAAACATGTGTGCAGGGGGTAGGCCAGCGGATGAGGAAAGATGAGGTCTTGTGGTCAGAGCCTGCCCTGAAATCTTTCCAGCAATCATCTGGGGCAAAAAAGACTCAGGCACTGTGACCCATCAGGCACACCAGCAGCTGTGTCATACGACGGTCCTAAAACTTCCAGGCTGACCTGTTTAAAGCAGGGGTTTGCCCAGTAAGGGCATGGCAATAAGGGACACTGTATCCCTGGCTCTCTCTGGTGTATGACTTGAAAGCCACCTATTTCTGGGCTCAGTTTTTCCATCTATAAAACAGACTAAAGCAGCCTAACAGGGCTCACTGCACTGAGGATTGAATGCGGCAGACCAAAGTAGCTTTAAATTGTGCTCCTGCCAGGCAGGGTGGCGCATGCCTGTACTCCTAGCACCCGGGAGGCTGAGGCAGGAAGACCAGCCTGGTTTACAAAGTGAGCTCAAGGCCAGCCTGAACTACATAGCAAGAAAAGACATCCCTCCAAAACAAATGTTGTTCCTGATACACAAGTACCAAGGAATGAAATGATTACATATACACAGACTCCCACCAATGTGCTTCTTAAACTTGGGTGACATAATTTGATTAACTTTTCACCGCTTACCACAGGGAGGAGGCAGACCTTCCCAGGCAGAAGATTCCAGGGGAGTTAAGCTGTCATCATCCTTCCAAATCAGCAAGGGAAGGGGAACAGCTGGGTACCCCAAGCCAGACAGGACTCCTTAGGAGACTCTAGTTTGGGTCCCTCCTTACTGGATTCCCAGCACATCCTGATTCAAAGAAAATAATAACACACGAAGCAAGGAACTGGCCAAATACGGCTGGCTCGGGTACTTCCCTTTATGTTACCCCTCTCTTGCCCCGTAGACTGTGTGTCCCATTCCCACTCCTAATAACGTTTGTTGGAAGCACTTATTTGGGAAGACCATGCCCACCAGGTGGGACTGGCCACACAGCCCCAGGAGGTGCTGTTGGCATGTGCTGAGAAGCAGGTGGACCCCACAGCGGTGGGCACTGTCATGGGCTCTCACATTCCCACAGGCTGCCTGTGGCCTCCCCCTAAAACCTAGCAGTTCTGCACACCACAGGAAAATAGAACCTTTGTCGCTAGCCGGGTTAAGGGGGAATAAGGCGCTTTCCAGGTGTGATCTGAGTCTCATCCTCCGCTCTGTGCAGCTGATGAGGAAGACCTGAGTGTAGCTAAGCAGAGCAAGCTTCTACAGAAGTGACGGTGCACACCCACCACCCCAAGCCAGAGCTTGGGAGGCTGAGGCAGGGGGAACACAAATTAGGCCGTTAGCAGGGGCCATTAGCAACAGAGAGAGAGAGAGAGAGAGAGAGAGAGAGAGAGAGAGAGAGAGAGAGAGAGACTAGAAGCTGGGCACAGTGACACATTTGGGAGACTGGGCCAAGAGAATTTTTAGTTCAAGGCAGCCTGAAGTGGCCAAAAAGAGGAGGGAAAAGAGACCAGGGAATACTGCACAGGTAGAGCACTTGTCCAGCCTAAGTGAGGCCCTGGGTTCAATCCCCAGGACTGAACAGAAAGTGCACAGCCCCTGATCACACTGGCCTTGGCGTCTGCCGCAGGCTCGGGGTGGAGAATGCGTTCTCTGGTCTTCCACGGCACTTCTGGGGAGAGATGCTTTTCAGCCCCGCACACTTCCTCACGTACCCGCGACCTACCGCTCCTCTGTGCGTGTCTGCATGAGCCTGACCTCATCCATCAGGGCTGTGAACTTGGCCCAAATGTCAGAAACCGCAAGGATACAGAACTGGGCCTGCCACGGAGAGATTCCCTGGAGTAAGCTGCGCTGCACGAGGCTTGGGCAGTGCGGCGTGCACGACAGGCCGCAGAAACCTTCCTTCAGCGGGAGGTCTGCAGAGCGATTTTAGGCCCCAGATGGTGAGAGGAAAGGAGTTAGCAGCACCCTGGGACTCTCGTAACTTGTGATCTTGGCCGGCCGGATCTCCCCAGCTCACACCATTTTCCCATTTTCCCAACCCTCATTAGTTGGGTAGAAAGCATCTGGTCTTCTAAGTCCCTGGCCGACCTCATTAGGTAGGTTATTAAGACACCTCAGTGAGCCCCAGGCACGAGGCAGGCACACAGGCAGCCTCCCTGAGTTCCCGAGTACCAGACCAGCGTGCCCGCGCGAGCAGATGCAGATGGCATGTGCCTCCTGCCACCTGCTGGTCGTAACAGGAACAGCAAGCTGTCGTTCTGGGGAATTTCTTGTATGCTGCAAATTGCCTTTAGTCCAAAACACTTCTCCTCCAGTGTTCCACCAGAGGCAGGCAGAGAACAGTTTGCCAAAAGCTGCGTAGAAAGTTAGTAGCAGGCTTCCCTTATGTAATAAAACTAAAAAAAATTTTTTTCAAGCACCTCAACACACAGCAAAGGCAAATTTACATTTAAATATCAGAGTCAGACCTAGATCCCTTCAGGGTACCAAACAGGAACTGGGCCAGCTTCCCGGCTCCTCCCCTCAGAGGAGTTTATCCCTCCCTGGGGCTTATCCCCAGTATAAACCCTGTGCCACTGCCCCACTCACAGACAAACAGTTCTTCAGCTCCTGTTTGCCAAGTGCATTCTGTTTCCCTTTGCTTCTGTAGCAAGGCTAGCAGCCAGATTAATTCACGTGGCAGAGATTTCTGGAGCATCCATCATACACCTTTTCTGGTGCAAGGAATACAGCCCCATTTAAACAAACCAAAGATGTGGATGGAGCCAGGCATGGTGGCATGCGCCTATAATCCCAACACTCAGAAGGCTGAGGCAGGAGGATTGCTGTGAGTTCCAGGTCAGCCTGGACTACACAGTGAGTTCAAGGCCAGGCTGAATTAGAGTGAGACCTTGTGTCAAAAAGAAAAGAAAGGGCTGGAGATTTAGCTCAGTAGCACAAGCACCTGCCTGGCAAGCACAAGGTCATGAGTTCAATCCCCAGTGCCTTAAAAAAAATTATATATATATAGAAAGGGCACTGGGACTAGTGAAGATGAAGATATACAAGTAAATGTTCACTTATTCAATGAATACATTCAAGTTTTGGGCTTCTGTGCCACTGGAGTGTGGCGAGCTCTACCGGCTTCACCCTGCTTTACAGAGCTCACACTCTAAGGGGAGAGACCACTGCATATGGGTAGAGCTGTGGGAAAAGGGCCTGCAGAACTCAGCAAGGACGGGAGCCTGTCCCTGGGAACTGAGAGAGGAGTTCAGAGTAGGAATTAGGAGGAAGAGGAGGGCTCGGGGTGTGGCTCAGTGGGACAGCGCTTGCCTTGCATGCATGAAGGCTGGGTTCAATCCCCACCCCTGAGGAAGAGGAAGGAAGGAAGGAAGAAAGGAAGGGAGGAGTTAAAGCCATCCTATTACAGTGATCTATGTATACATGTTTACAGCAGCACAACTCATAATAGCTAAATCTTGGAAGTCGCCTACATATCTGTCAATAGATGCACAGTTAAAGAAATGTGGTGTTTATGCACAATGGATTATTACTCTACCATAAGAAGGGTGAGTTGCAGTCATCTGTAGGAAAATGGATGCACCTCGAGATTATAATGTTAAGTGGAATAAATCAGACACAAAAGTTTAAGTGTTGAATTGCTTCTCCTGTATGACAAACTCAAAATATAAACAGAGGGCAAAATAAAAGACAGATAATAGGAAGCAGATAGATCTTTTGTGGAAGAGAAGGGGACCAGAGATGGACGGGTAAAGAGGGAGGAGAGGGTGAGGAATGAAAAAAAGAATCGGATGTGGCAAGCACAAGGTCCTGAGTTCGAGTCCCAGTACCAAAGAAAAATAGAATCACACATGTGGTGGACATAGACCAACTCTCCAGGACAAATGTGATCATTATGTGCTACAAACGCATACTAATAAAAATAAAAATACTCCAAAATAAAACAAAAGACCATAGGAAATAGGGATCCATATGGCTTGCAGATAGGAACAGGATCTGCAGCTGGAGCAGGGAGGAGAGGAAGGGGAAATAAAGAGAACCAAGACGTGGTGAGCACATGCACCAGGCCCGCAGGTGAATGGAATATTCCACACTGCACATAGGTTCTAATAAAACAATTTAACAAGGAAAACTAGTAGGATAAGGGCCACAGGCATTTTGCCCAAGAGAAAAAGTCCAGCAAAACCAGCAGGGGTACCAGATTAGAGAAGGCAAGAGTCCCTGGGGCGGGACATGGGAGCTCAAACCTGATAAAGCCCGAGGCTCGGGCTCCACGGCCTCCCTGGCTTCTGAAGCAGAGTAAGGCCTGGAGCTCCTGCCCCTTCCTGGGCCCCGAGGGGTGGGGAGAGGGACGGGGGCAACAGAGGCAAAGCAGGGGATCGCTCCAAACTATTCCCGGAATCTCCTCCCGCAGGCTGGTGCAGCTGAGTAAGCAGCTGATGGAAACCTCCGGCCTCTGACGGCCTTGAGACTGGTAGAGTGCGGCCGGGCATGGTGGTGCATGCCTATGATCCCAGCACTCGGGAGGCTGAGGCAGGAGGATGGCTGGGAGTTCAGACCAGCCTGGGCTACAGAGCGAGTTCAAGGCCAGCCTGAACTGCATAATTAAACTCTGTCTCAAAAAGAAAAGACACTGATGGGGTGAATCTGGGGAGGAGGAGGGAGATGAAATGAAAAATCTCTCTGGCACACGGAAGTGCCTGGCCAGGTCCCCCAGCCCGAGCGCACCCATCCCCTGGTCTGCACCTGTTTCCCAGATACGCAGCGCCCCTCTCTAAGGCGAGCTCCCCAGCCGCCTTGCAGGGAGGGTGCCCGGCCCCTGTCTTATTTTAAGTAGAGCCCCATGTTGAATCTGTTCCAGGAGGACGAGGCGGGAGAGGGCCGCTTCAACTTCTCGGCCTACGGCATGGGCCCCGCCTGTCTGCAGGCCAAGGATGGCCTCTCGGTCAAGGGTGCCAACAACAACAGCACGGCCAACCCCGCGCCCGCGCCCTCCAAGTCCCCCGAGGAGATGCGCAAACTCTTCATCCAGCGGGCCAAGAAGATCGACAAGATCTCCCGCATCGGCTTCCCCATGGCCTTCCTCATCTTCAACATGTTCTACTGGATCATCTACAAGATCGTCCGCAGAGAGGACGTGCACAACCAGTGACGGCCGCGAGCGGAGCCCTCCGCGGTGCATGAGTGGAGAATACCGCGCTGGCTATTTAACCCGGGTGGGGGCGGGGCGGGCGGGGGCTGGGGCAGGGGGCGGCGGGGGGCCGGGCCACTGCAGCTCCCACGCTCTGAGCCCACGGGCTCTGCAGTCTTCCCGTGGGGAGGGGGCCGCAGTGTGCCCCGCAGCAGGAGGAGAGCTGTAATATACGATATATATTCCTGCTTAACCTTAATGCAAAACCACCAGAACAAAACACAACAAAGATTTCTTCTTAACCTATCAGCCTAGGAACTGCTTTAACGTTTCAAGTCACCGAGGGATGGACAATCTTTCCCACAGTGGAAACAGTCACAAATCAGCTTGCTCTGGTGCGCGCGTGTGGCACCCCCATCGCACCCCATCGGCGCCCTTCCTGTCTCCAAACCCCACCAGGTGGACACATGCCAAAAAGCCATTCCGCCTCTGCTTCCAGAGCGTCCCTTGGCATGGACCCGAACAGCGGCGAGGGGCCGGGGCTGAGAACGAAGGAGCCCCGCGTCGCCAGGCTGGGGCCTGCGCCTGCTGCGCTCAGCTCTGTAAGTTCTCTCCGGCTTGTGTGTCCCATCGCCCACCCCACTGGCCCCTTCACACGACCGGGACAGACCGCCACGGTTTGCTCATTATATTGCTGATATGCAATCTTTTTTATGGTTAAAAAAAAGTAATAATCTCAAGAAATAATATGCAGATAGACTGAGTGTAAACAGATGGACTTTTTTTCAAATGTCTATTTTTTTGGAATTGCAAGTGGATGCCTGTGTGGGAAAGAGAGGGCCCCCGGGGATGGAGATCGATGGCTTTTGCAGTGTTCACAGTGGGAGGCTTTGAGAGTTCAATATGGGCGGGAGAGACGTGGTGTTTGGGAAGCGTGTTCATTACATTCTGACATTTCATAATCATGTGAGAAGTTTGAGGGGATGACTCCCCGTTCTATTTTTATAAGTCTTTTTTTTTTCTTTTTTCTTTTAGGTGCTTTGTTTAGCTTTAACATTTGGGAAAGTTAGGTAAATATGTCTCTTTCCTTTGAGATCTGAAGTGCCACAAGTATCCCAGGATAGCAAGGGCACTCCAGAGACCAAAGGTGAGGGACGGGGAGGTGAGTGGGGTCCTGCCGAAGGACAGGGGCGGTCAGAGCCAGAAGGCCTCCATCACGGCTGTCACCCAGAGTGGGCAGCATCCTCCGCCTCGGCAGGCCCCCAGGATGCTGGGTTCGGTTTCCTTCTTTGCACTTTAGCGTCTTGGCTTTGGAACCAGAGTCATAGGCTGAAGGGGAGCCAGAGCTAGACTGGGGTTCACTTGTGTTGCTAGAGCATCCTCAACCTGGAGCAGGACTGAGGAGGAGGAGGAAGACATAGACCCCAGAGCCTAACTGCTCCCATCCCCAGGCACAAAGCCCCGGTGCCAGTGCCCAGCAGGCCTTAGGGAAGCAGGCTTTGGAGCGCGGTGACGCAGGCAGGCAAGGAAGGCGCACGAGGCTGGGCTCTGGGGCTTCTGTGATAAGAGTGTTCCTATTCCCTGCGCCCCCTTCTCTTAGTGTATGTAGACCAAAAAGTGAGCTGCATTCCCATCTCGGGTGAAGCTGCATCTTGACCCGTGAAGGGGAAGTAGGGAGGAGTCGCTCATCCAGGGCCTCCTTTACCGCACCACACACGCGTGTGCAAAGGAGGAAACTCTGAAGAGAAAGATTTGAACAGCTGCTTCCAGGGCAAGGCTCGCCCGCCAGTCACAGACAGCCGCTGTGAGCACATCTCACGCGCACTGTAATCACTTTACGGGAGGGAAGGGGCCTCGGCTCCTCGGGGGCCCTGAGTCTGCAGAGGCCAGCAGTCCCTTTCCCTAGCACTTTATTCACTTTATTTAGGTAAAAAATTCTTTTTAATCAAAATTAACACATCCCTGCATTACTGGACTAAATTCAGAAGGCCTAAGGTTGAGGTGAGTCGGGCAACAAAGACAGTAGGTCTCTATCAGAAGCTAAAAATAATATCCTCGGGGCAGGGAGGAGGTTTAGCTCAGCAGCACAAGTGCCTGCTCGGCAGGTGTGAGTCTTGAGTTCAATCCCCAGTACCAATAGAAATAATAATAATAATGATAATAATATCCCCTGTCCTAAGATATTCCATATCCACTCAAACACAGACATTTGCAGATTCCAAACTGGCTTTCTCACTGGCACCATCTGGAGCCCTCCTGAGACGGAGGTCACCAGCCCGTTTGCCTGCCCCTTTGGAGCCCCAGCCTTCTGCCACCGTGCACCCCATTTAACCTATGGGGACATTGGGGGGCTGCCAGGCAGGGCAACAGCATCCAACTAATGATGGATCATCCATTTCAATCTCAGTGTCACTTGCAGAAGATTAGTGGGAACGAGGCATTATAAGGAGTGGAGGAACCTGAATCTAATCCTGCCATTGCCGCGCTGGGTAAAGCATGAAGCCTTGGTTTCCCTGACTAAGCCAAAAGGAGGGTGGGGCGGCAGGTACCTCCACTCCCTCCCTGCTTCCTCCCCCCTGCCGTGATTCTGTGCTTCACTGGTCCTAGAAGAAGTCAGCGGCACTGAGATGTCCCCGCCCTCCACCTGGACCGGTGCTTTTGTATGCACAGAGTACCGAGCCCACACAACCTCCGTCCCCTTTCTGAGGAAACTGGCAGATTCTGTTTTCCCTTTGCACCACTTCATCAAAGCTGAACGGTGGTGGGGAAGGGAACAGAAGCATGGTCCGGGGAGGACAGGACCATCCGTGGGTAATAAACAGGAAGGACTCAGCAATAAATCACGAGAGTTTCATGGGGACAGAAAAGTCAAACCAGATCATTTAGACCAAAGATTCTAGGTGGCTCCAGTGAACAGGGCAATACTTTCCTAGTTTGTTCTTCAGTTTGAGCACAAGAGATACTAAGCATGGGGATTACAGCTGCAAAGTAGATGCTGGGTAAAGACCGGGTGCAATCATGGTTTCTGTCTTTTAAACTGTTTCCGTGTATGCACGAGAATTAGTGACTTCATCCAGCTCCAAAACGGCACCTACTCCCAGGAGTCAGGCAGCCACAGCCATGGCTTCTCGCCTGTTTCTTTACAATGTGTTTTGCTTGTTTCAAGGGCAGCTGAAATAAATGGCTCAGCTCTACCACCATCTGGTCCTTTCAGACAGCCATTCTTAGCTAAGGATATATAGAGAATGCTCATAAACAAAAAGAAAAAAATGTCTATTAATATGTATGTGTATGTATGCGCTTTTTTAAAAAATTTTTTTTGAGACAGGGTCTCACTGTGTAGTTCAACCCAGCCTTAAACTCACTATGTTGCCCAGGCTGGCCTTGAACTGGTGATCTTCCTGCCTCAACCTCCCAAGTGCTGGGATTACAGGCACATACCCCCACACCCAGTTTATGTGTAATATCTTGGATTCAATTCTATTATTTGTTTCTGGCTAGAAAGATAAAAGAGGGTTGATTATTTGACCTAAATTGTATCTTTTCTAAATTGTCCATAAATAGTAAGTGTCCCTTTCAGAGGCTCACCCAGTATTTTTATAGACTGTTTCATGTTTGAGACAAAAGCAAATACAATGCAAGACAGTTGCTTCCCTTCACTGTTTGCGTCTCGGAGCTGTGGTGTTTTACCAGGCTGCAGGACGTCAGACTGTGGAGCACAGGCTGGTGCTGCAGCCAAGCTGATACCATGGCTGACTGTCGTCTTTGTGAAAATTAGATCCCTTCTGTGATGGGAGCTCCCGGAGACTGAGGGGGGCTATGGTTGCATCTGCAGCAAGTGCACACTCAGCTGGCAAGCAGAGGGTTCGGCTGCGGGGAGGAAGGTCTGTTTTAGCTTTACACTGGGTACAGGACCTCAGATTCGCAGCTAGCTATTTCCGTCTGGCTGGAAGCCCAATCTAAGGAATGAGGGACACCTTGTCAAAGCCCACCTCCTCCCTCAGCAAGCATGGCATGGCCAGCCTATTCTCACCCCAGCCAGCAGTGTGGCAGGCGAGACTGGGTCTTGTCTGCGAGCTGGGTTTCCTGGAGTAGCTCAGGGGCTCCACTTGGCGGGGTCAGCAAGGTACACTGAGACAAGGCAAGGGCACCTCTACCCTCTAATGTGCAGCATCTTTACTTCACAAACCAGCCAGACCAACATTTCCCTAATCAAAAAGCTGAGAACATACCCTTTTTGTTTAGGTTTAGGTTTTTGACACAAGGTCTCACTATGTGGGTTGGGCTGGCCTTGAGCTCACTTCGTAGTCCAGGCTGGTCTCAAACTCTCAACAACCCTCCAGCCTCAGCCTCCCAAGTGCTGGGATTACAGCCATGCACCACCACACCTGGCTAGGGAACATATTCTTAAAATGTGATTTAACATCTTTTCTTCCACTAAGCCCATCCACTCCAGAAATTTGAATTAAGAACGTTCCTATTTTCCTCCAATTCTACAAAGCCTGAACAAGAGCCCATGATCAAAGGGAGGAACAAAGAAGCACACTTTGTTTCAATCATGCTACCCTGTCTCTGACACCTACCTGTTGTCAGCGTAAGGGAAACATGAATGTTGGCGAGGCCTGGGTCTCGCTGCATCCTGAATCCCCGTGGATAGAGAACACCTGGAGCAGGATGACATACCTATAGAAACAAGAGAACGTGGTGAAAACCCAGACCACCTCAGTGTGGCCTGATGCTATGAGTTCCAAAGTTGAAATTATTGCCTAGTATTCTTTAGGATCAATCCTAAAAACTCAGAGCCGTGGTCTCCCGCTTTGCTGTACACTCCCATCGCCTCCTCTGTTGCCTTTTCCAGTTTCATCAGTTCGAGCATCTTATTTAGTGAAACCAAACCCTGCCAGAAGATGCGGGTTTATTTCGAGGGAGGTGGGAGGCTAAACACACTTAGTAGCTGCTGTCTCGCGGCGTGAAGGCCGTGACGTCTGTTACTCCCCTTTGTGTGTGTATTTAGAAGTTTCACTGTTGTGGGAAATTTCTACGGGAACACTGAGAGGAAAAGAGAGCATAGTGATAAAAGCTGTGTTCTACTGAAGGCCACTGCCAGCTACAGATCCGTTCTGGCTAACGGTTCTTGGCAAGAAAGGCATCGGCTGGGGGTGTGGATTCCAAGCATAACGGGCCTCTCAGTCCGCAGCTCCCGGTAAAACTCATCATTGCCCTGTGGTTCTTGAGGTCCGATTGTTTGCTTATGCACCATGGAAACCCAGTGCCCTACTTAAAACACTTAACCACACCTGCCTTGCGAAGCCGCCAGAGGTCATTAGGAGGCAGAAGATCCTTGCTAGTGGGCAGTTTCTCACGCACTTCCGCCAAGCAGAGGTTCAAGTAAGAAGTTCTCTTCATATGCAATGCCACTGAAACAGCCCCAAAGTGATGGGGTAGCCAGCAGTCTGGGAAAGGAGGGTCTCCAAATGCTCTTTACTGCCCTTCAAACTCTAGGAAAGAAGTGGAGAAATGGGCTCACAAGAGCAATGCATAAGCAAAATCCTCCCTACCACCCAGTCCCACGGGAGACACGGATGTTCCTGCCTGCCCCCGGGACTTCCTGCTCCAGGATCCCCTGTCCACTCAGTCAGCTGACCTACACAGACTGGCCATCCATCTCATGGATTGTTTTCCACTCGGCCTCCTGTAACTGCCAACCAGAAATGTGGTCTTTGGCCACACGGACAGAAGTGATGGGAGTGACACAGGCCCTGGGTTAGCTCCTCAGAGGCCAGCAGAGCACCCTCCCGTGCAGCCCAGAGACTGGTAGGAGAGCGGCCCTCAGGACTCTGGTTAGTGACTCTGACTCAGGTTACTGTTAGGGGACTTTTTTTCCCAAAGTTTCAGGGAGGAAAGCAGCTTAGCCTTCCACAATGTGCGTTAAAACAGGTGCAGGGAAGTCCCAAAAGTCAGGGCATGTCATGGCTAGGACTAGAGTATATCTAATCAGGTGACACATTATAAACATAGCATTTCCAGGTTTTCTGGTTTTTTTTTTTTTCCACCTCTTAACACCTGTCACCCTTCCACCTGCTAGCTACTAAATCTTTGAGTCACTGAGCCATGAAAGCAGGGCAGCAGAAGAAATGGAGCTCTTTTTCCTACAGCACAGAAACGGCCAGCAGAACTAGCGCCTAACTAGTAATGTGAAAGGTGGGAAGTTATAGGGGCAGGAAGGGGCTGCAGAGAGGGCAGGGCACAGGGAAGTCCAGGAAGAAGTGACAGCATGAACAGAATATGGAGACAGATAATAAAGGACACGTACAAGGCACAGGGAGTATACACTCGGTCCACATGCAATGAATGGGAGGTGTGTGCAGGAAGATTGGGAACCGAACACAACATGCTTACGGCCAGTGCTTTCCCTGGAGACTGCAGAGCAGCTGATTTTTTTTCCAGGCTTTTCCTACTGCAGGGTGTGGTGGGCAAGACACCTCCGTGCAGTCTGGGTTCTCCTGGACTAATTTTGGAAGAACTCACCTGTTCCCTTATCTCAGAAGTCTGCAGGGTACCCCCTAGACATTCACTTTAAGGGCATCCATTAAACCCGCCCAATACATCGATCTAGCTACGTAGGCGCTAGGAAGGGAGCAGGCTACGGTACAGTGGTGACTGAGCTCACCGTTCCTCGTAGTTCTGAAAACTATTCCTGCTGTTATTTCTTATCAAGGCCACGCCTAGTACAGAGAAGGTATTTCTAAAGGGGAGCTTGTGCGACAAACAGTAGCTTCTGTTGATCTAACTGAAATGTTACACTGAGCACAAATGGAGTAAAGTACAGTCCAGCATGTCCTTTCACCCTCAGATTAAAAGAAAACCTGAGGGCCTGAGGATTTAGCTCAGCGGCATAAGCACCTGATTCGCAAATAGGTTGTGAGTTCAATCCCTGGTACCAAAAAAAGAAAAAGAAAATCTAAAGTAACTTTTCCCAATCTATACATCTCTCTATATGTATTTTTATACATAAGAAAAAATAAAGGCAGAAGTGTAACTGACTTTTTTATATGTCAATGCTAGTGAAAATATGCAAAATGAAGTTTCTTCCATAAGTTACCTTCCTTCAACAAAATTAAAGAGTATTTGGGGGGAAAATATTACCTTTCTAGCAAATAAAAGCTTGCCCACAAATCTTTTTAAAGAATGATGCTTACATATCAAGTAAGCAGTTTGGTAGAGTCACCCTGTTCCACTTTAGACATATTCTACCTCATTTCAAGTGTACTATGCTCGGCACGCCTGAATGATAGCCCAGGAGCCAAAAAGGCGGATGTTCCCACGAGGAACTTCAAAGCATCCTAATTTCATACTACTTCATTCTTCATGGTTCGCTCCTTCAGTATAGAATTTCCAACACTAACAAGTTAGAATGCGAGGGATTCGAATTCCAAAGGGCCCACCTGCCACTCTACATTGGCTAAAATGCCTACTTCACATTGATTCTTGGGCATAGTAGGCAAACAATATAGTGCACTGTTCTCTAAAGTCTTATTTAACAGCCTCCACTTTCAAAAACAAGCATCGCAGGGACTTCAGTTGTCTCCAAGTGAAAAACTGGACCTAACAGGTAACTTCGGCTGTTACAAATTTGAAATGGGTACAGTGAATTACAAAGTGACCCAAGACAAAAATTTTTACTACTTAAGCCTCCTGTCGCTGCCCAAAGGTATTCTCACTGTCTGGCCCAGCATCAGCACAGAGCCACTGGCTGGAATTACTCTAACCAGACCAGGTGCGAATACTGCAGTGCCCGGTACTGGTGTCCTCTGGAGGGAAGAGTGAGTGGTTCAGGGCTGGAATGCAGGGACCACTCATCTAGAACATGAACCACAGTGCTCCCAAATCACAGATTAAAATAACACTGATGTGAAACATTCCAAAGTGAGCTGTAACAATGTAAAAAAAAAAAAGCTCAAAGTCAGCCGGGGAGAGCTATTTGTCTATTTGTCTCTGATCCATCAACTTCTCACTGGGACTCAGGAGGCACTCACTAATCTAACCAGTGTGCAATCTCTTCCCCAGACCTTGCCAAAGCCCGTGACTTCTGCATAAGCAGAAGTCACCTCCAAAGGACTTACCCTTCCCGTTTTCCACGTCATCTACTTTGGTATTTGCACAAAATTACCCTTTTGTCTTAAAATTTCCCTGGTTTGATATTTCAGCAGAAGGTGAATCCCAGGTGATTCTCCTCCAACTGCATATCCCCTCCCCTTCCTCCCAAAACGCTGTCAACTTAAATGTGTCAAGATACACAAGGGATAAAAGTCAAATACCACCTTCCGACAATTAGGCACTGCTTCCTGAAATCTAACACTTTGGTTCGTTATTAGTACTCTTCAAGTGAACTTCTTTTAACTCCACGTAAGGATACTGTGTCTAGCTGTTAAGTGTTACAGGAAAGATACCTACAAGTTAGCAATCTGTGATTTCCAAGTTTGGGGAAAGAAATGCAAGAAATATAGTTGCCCTCTGCGATGAAGTGCTTGATCACTGGTAATGGAGATTCAAGATGATTCCTACTTCCCTGGGAGACAGAAACATCACACACCCACACAGCAGCCACTCTTGACAGCTAGCCAAAGAACAGGTTTCTACGTCACAGCCTGGAGGCATCTCAGTTAATTTGCCTGGTAGATTGGGTAAATTCCTCGACCTTTCCCAAAAGAAAATGTGATGTCTTTTATATGGAATCTTTGTAGATATGTACAAACTTGGTATGGCCTTAATGCTGCGGTTAAGGGTTTGTTCGGCTACCACCTTAAGCAGCGTGTTAAGCAATCAATCGCTTCCGTAATGTACGGTTTCTACTTCCTTCTGGACACTCCTTGAACCACCAGTTCCCTTTGCCCTTTTACTCTTCCTTGTTGCATGAGGTCATAAAATTATGGCACTTTATTTTTTGGCTTGTAAAAAATATCTTTTTGCTGTTTGAAGATGGAATGTTACATTTCTGTGATACATGTATATAAAAGTATATTTATTGTACCATCTACATACCCATATCCATGCTAATTCCAATGGAAAAAATTAAAATTTTCTGAAATTTTCTGTGGTTAACTCTTTACTATTTTGCCAGCCTGGTATGAGACAGAAGAAACCTATGTGCAACCTGGAAAACATTTCACTTCTGACAAGGTTTTATGTAGAGAAATGATAATTCACTTGTTTATTCAAGAAAAATTTATTGGTAGGTGCTACGGGGGATAACAAGGATGACACACAGACCCTGCCCGTAAGGAGCTTACAGTCTAACGGGGGAGACGGAACACACGGGGGCTACACGATCAGGGGTGCATTTTCAGTGAGATGAATCTAACAGTGTAGAAAACAAGCCAGAGTAAGAGGAGGGGTGTCAAGCCGAAAACTATCCCAATTACGTACAGATGAAAAAGAAGTGGAAGCCTGTTGAGGTAAAATGACAAGATGCAGCTGGAAACTGGGTGTAGGCAGCAGCAGAAAGGGAAGCAGACGGCACTTGTGCACTGCACGGGTGACACGAGGAACCGAAGAGCAAGGAAGCAACTATGAGAACCACTCCGCGTGAAGGCCAAGCACCCGGGCCAGGCATGAAGGATGGCCAACAGCCAGCGACCTTGTGCTCTTGTGGCCACCCCCAAAACCTTCCCAATGATTCCCTCCACTGAGATGTCCTTCTCCAGGGATGCTTCCCATGTATGAAAAAACCAGAAAATCATGACTCAACTCAGCTGTCGCTCAGGGACTCCAAGGTAAGGAACTGCATCTTCTGCTAGAAAGGAGGGGTGAACCACCTCCCCCGTCCTTGTTCACCTGGAACTCACAGTCTAACTCTAGGCTGAAGGGCTACGTTATGGTTTATGAGAGAAGTATAAAGCGCTCCAGGGACACACTGCTTACACTAGGAAGGCCAGGACAGAGCCTAAACAGGAGAGACACGATGGGAGTAGGTAGAATGAATGTGTTCATTTCAAATCTGGACTCAGTAGTTCCCCAAGAGCTCCCCTATTCCTGCTGCAAATCTTTTGGGGTGCAAACAGCTCTTCCACTCAATCTCTAAAAAACTGACTTGGATGATGAAGAGACTGGGAAACGTGCTGCGCACACAAGTGTGTCTTCAGGGAAGAGAAGGCACTTGAATCCATGGAATCAGCCAGGGCAGCCTCACTGAGGGACCAGCAGTGGTCGAGCATGCTGGAGCATCATCTCCATGAAGAACGAGAGAAACACCTGGAAAGGAATCTGAGGACCCGGATACACACTGGGTACTGCCAGGCACTAAAAACATACACATCTAAGACCAAATTGCTGCCCCCTAGGAGCTTACAGTTATAACAAGGTGGAAAAGCACCATGATGTACAGAATACAAAACGCTGCAGTGGTCAGGAGAAAATTACAGCTGAGTTTCAGCTATTAAACATCAGGATACTCAATAGCCTTCTGAGAGCTAGTAGTAAACCCATCCCTGAGGGGAGCAGTAGTCCTGTCCTTGGACAAGCAGCCCTGATAGAGCCGGGCATTAAGACAGTCCTAAGGAAACAGAGAAAACCTGGGTATGGAAGCAAAGAGAACCAACGGGGTCAACATTAAAAACCTGGTGCCTTCCCTTCTCTCCCCACGTCCTGACAGCTTTAGCAGCTCTGGCCTTCCTACAGGGAGCCTAGCCCGCCCCAGCGTGTCTTCTGTAGGCAGAGCTGGGACTCGTGTAAGCCACCTCTTCCTCCCGCTCCCAGCATCGCCATTTATGACTGAGACATTCCAGGGGTCTCTTCCATTCACTCTGGTAATAATCAGAAAGGGAAGGAAACTTTTAAGGAAATATCCTGATTTTTCTCAAAAATACAATTTTTTTTATATAAATCACAAACTTCTATTCTCTCAGCTAAATCCCACCTCCACCCTCCATCTTTTAAAAATGCCATGTCTATCTATACAAGAGTTTACTTTTGAAATGTCCTATAGCTACTCAAGTTAATGTGCACCAAATGTTAATGGGGGGCTGTCTTCTCCCCTAAGTCCTTATGCTTGCTTCTTGGTACAATGTCTCCATTTAAAAGGACACTATCAGTGTACAAACCATCTTCCTAATGAAACTTTAAACTGTAAACAGATCCAAAAGTGAAACAGGTGACAACAAAGCTTAGACAGAACCAGTAACTAAAGTGAATGTTTGGTAAAGTATTTCTAAAGTATGAATGTTTGTTCATTTTTAATTTACTTTAGAGAAAGGGGAAATACCTAAGTCACACGCAGCATATCCCTTATAAATATGGGACATATTTCAAAGTACTAAACACGCACGGATTTCTTAGTTTATATGTTCATATGGTTTCTAACGGCGGTTCAGGTGGAACTGTCTCCCAGTATTATTCTTTCTTCCATGGACCTAAAAAAAAGCTACTAGCTTCAAGTCAGAAAGTGGAGAGGAAAAAGACTGCCCTAAGTTTTCAAAACAAGCCAAATTTACCTTAAAAAATGAACCTCGATTCTAAGCCAATGCACAAAAAGGATATCAAAACTGCAACTAGTTATGAGGATTAGTTATGGGACTTCTAGTCAAGTTTACTCGTCCAGAACATACTCTGTGGCTATTACATGAAGTTTTGCATTAGTTTGAGCTACATACACTAAGACTATGAAGAGAGGCCCAGACACATAGCTCAGCAGCACAGTGCCTGTCTGGCAAGTGTGAGGTCATGAGTTCAACTTCCGTTACAAAAAAACGCAACAACACAACACACACACACACACACACACACACACACGAACAGAAACGTTTCTCTCACTTGCGTGCTGCCATTTCACCTTTACTATCAACAAGAGCCCACACAAGTCTACCAATGGTCCCCAAACCTCAACATCACAGTGGACAAATACAAACCCCGAAAGTTTTTTGTTGTTTTTTTTTTTGGCGGTACTGGGGTTCGAACTCATGACCTCGTGCTTGCCAGGCAGGCACTTACGCCACTGAGCTAAATCCCCAGCCCCGAAGGTATTTTTTAAAGCAACCCAAAGGCTTCTTAAAATCAGAACGATTTGACTTGACTGTCATCTGATCTCACATGGCCATTGATGGACCAGCAGCTCTAACCTACCCAAACCCCACAGACACTGCTGAAACATTCCTAAAACAGTGTGGAAGGTTCCCTGTCCACTGCCTACTTTAGGTAAATTTGGCAGTCAGGTAAAACCCATATTCAAATAAATATTGAAATTCCCTCTTTACAAAGTTAAAAAATGCTGAACTAAAAGTCAATTATCTCATTTGCATGTAATTTCACAGAGACTCTTTTAAATAGCACAAAAATGAAACAGATCAGTAGACACGACAAATAAAACTATTTAAAGAACTAATTCACTCAGCATAAACCATGGTCTACAAATCTAAGCTTCACAGATTCTATCCTAACTGCTTCCTATAAAGTGCAACCCTTTCCCACTACGTCACTAATTTCTACAAGGGTTTTCCAAAAAGAAAGTTTGTACAGAGAATTATCCAGGGATGGTGGTTATGAAGTATCAAGCAAACCTTTAAACTCACTTGACTTACAATATACTGTGATCACCCACATCCAAATTTCAAATTTGTACTAAATGTAAAACAGATTAAGAAAGTAACTTTTAAGAAGAAACCACTGCTACCACATAGGCTTTACAAACATCAAAAGGAGACCTACCATAAAATACAATTTCAGTATTCTTACTTGCTCTCAAGAAAATGAAGAGCAGGGGCCCGGGGGTTTAGCTTGGCGGCATAAGCGCCTGCCTGGCAAGTGCGAGGTCATGAATTCAAGCCCTGGTACCAAACACAAGATCAGACTTGCAATGCTGAACTTGTTCTGAGTATCCTCCAGACTAAGGTCTCTCCACAGTAGTAATTTTATTACGGGATGTGCTACTCAAGCCAGACCGAGTGATGCATACTTGTAACACGAGGACCTGGCTGAGACAGGAGAGGCAGGAGTCTGAGGCCAGCCTGGGATACATAGGGAGACCCTGTCTTAAAGGGAAGAAAAAGAGAAAGAAAAAAGTAGCCTACTCACCCACAGGTAAAAAGGTAGATACTGTGGTTCTAAAGGAAAAGCAACACTTTTGAAGGACAATCTGTTCCTTCCTATATGGATGACCTTGAGGCCTGGCCCTGTAACTGTTCTGGTGCCATGTCTTCCAGCTGGTATTTTACGGCTAATGTCATATAATCACGGCTGGCTTGAGCATGGCTGAACTAAGGCTGTGGCGGTCACTCACTCAATCTCAGTGGGGTGATTATTTTAAATTATCCTTTTCATTGCTCCTAAGGAAGGGCTGTCAACCTCATCTGGAAAGCAAAAATATTTGTGGTAGGTCAAGATCTATATATTTTCAATAGATTTTTAAAACATCCGAAATCCACTGAACCAAACCAAGCTGATCTAGTTAAAACACTCATGGGTCGGGGCTGGGGATTTAGCTCAGCGGCATAAGCCTTGCAAGCAGGCAGTTATGAGTTCGATCCCCGGTACCGATAACGAAAAAGACAAAAAAAAAAAAAAAAAAAAAACCACTCATGGGTCAAGGGTCTGACGCTCAGGAGCAAAGAACTACTCTGATGTTACAGATGAGCACTTTCACTTCAACCTTGGCAAAGGCTGGGTGTGATGATGTGGCATCTCACAGACACTGTCGCCCGTACTTAACTTCTGCTTCCTAGCTGTGTGGATGCATGCCTCCCTAAGCACTGGTACCATCCTACACTCGGTAATGTACACAAGGGTCCTAGGACTGAGTGCTGGGCACAAAGGTAAAACCCACCTCTCAGGTCTAATACTACCCAGAGCGCACAACCACACCCAAGCCAATGCTGAGGACTTGAAGCTATGGAGGAACAGGATGCTGAGATGATGCAGCGACTCCCTGCACACGGCTGCCCCCTCCACATTTAAACACACTCAAGTTCGCACACACACTCACAGTTTCATGCAAGTCACAGGAAGGGAGACATTCCTAGAGCAGATGTCTCGGGAATTCCCAAGACCGACATTCCTCAGCGCTGAGCCTGCCCTCCCGCCACTCTGCTCCACTTTCACAGGCCATTGAGGATGCTTGGTCCTCCCCATGCAAGTCACAGGTGGCGTCGCACCCCCACCGCCCCCTGAATGTCAAACCTGCGAATGTCCTCCAGGATGCGGTTTAACGCCACCCCTCGTGAGTGCCCTTAAACCTCTCCTTAGGATAAATTTATTTGTAAATAGAGAAAAAAAAAAATCAATCAAGTATTCAAGTGACAAAAATAATTTCCAAATGACCTTGAAGTTTTGTGTGTGTGTTTTTTTTTTTTTTTTTTTTTTTTTTTTTGAAAAGTAACCCATGGCCAGTAGTAGTGATGGTGGTGGCATCCATCTGAAATTCCAGCACACTGGGAGGCTGAGGCAGAAGGATCAAGTTCAAGCCCAGCCTGAGCCACTTAGCCACATAGCAAGAGCCTGCCTACAAATAATACAAATGGCTGGGGAAAAGTTCAGTGCAAAGGCCCTGGGTTTAATTACTAATAGTAACACACACACACACACACACACACACACACACACACGCTAACGTTTTTCATTTTTCCACAAGCTTAATATAAGCTACAGAGATACAAACTGATGTCCTTCCAATTATCACTGGCCTGGGCCAAATGAAATGATCACAAGTTACTCCAAAGGACCCAAAACAGCCACATGACTTGAGCTACTCAGGCTCTTTCTGTGAAGGAAACGCTACCAACATGTGTGTGCTGAAGGTACTGGGCCCAAACTGCTACTGTTACACTGAAGTTTAGCTATTCCTTTCACAGCAAGCCTACAGCTGCGCACTAACAGCAAAACAAAACATTCCTATTTCTATTCCACACTATCCTCAAACAAAAGTCCTCAGGCTGAACATTGCTACTAAGACAATAAGTTAAACTCCACCAACCTGGTTGCCCTAAGTAATGACAAGTTCCCACACAAGGGTTTCACACATGTAAATAAAACCTTCACCCACCTCACACACAGCACTCAACAAATAACGTAACTATGTAAAATGAGTACTATTAGTCTACATTGCCAAATTAAATTTTCTTCCAGAAATATTTTAATAAAAATTGGCCATTTCCAAGAAACACCCACTGCATGCCCATCAGTAAAAGAGAACCATAACAAAATAGGAAATTTACCATATGGCTATGATTTAAAGAAAAAAAAAAAAAAACTGCAGACACTTGAGCACATCAGATAAGTTCAATGTCGAAGTCACATTCTTTCTCATGGACTATGATCAGGAATCTCATTAGACACCAAAATAAACAATACAAATGCTCAGCTATTTGGGTCAAAGAGCCTCCACAGAAACATCTGCCCTCAAAGGCATTCCACTTTCAGACTCAGTTTAGAGTAAGGCATAACAAACGTTAACAGAAGTCATACAAGGTGAAGAAAGAGGGTGTCTACAATTCCTTGTACCTCTGAACCTAATAGAACAAATCTAGATTTATTTTTCTTTAAACAATTGCCAAGAGTGGAATCAAAGATAAATAGAAGGCACAACAGTTTTGCTCTGGTTGTTATTCAGATTTAGGGGTTAGGATTTTTTTCTTTTTTTTTTTTTTTTTTAACAAATACAAATGAAAAATTCTACTTCAAAAAAATCTAACAGTTCAAGAAAACCCTATCAATAGCATTCTAGACATCCAAAACCTATCTTACAATTTAAATTTCAATTGTAAAAACATTAGATTTTAGAACTGTTTTATGATCAGTATCAAAAGAAAAGTTCTATTAACACCTTTTATTCAGTTTTTAACCATATCAGTGAGAATCGAGTTTTTCAAATTTCCCATATAACCATTTTCAACATCAGAAGATAGTCATGACTCTCTGGATTTTACCTGCCTCCAAAATGTTTATCAAATCCTGTACTTCTCACAGGCTTTTGAAACACGTAAAAAATAAGTAAGAAATATTCCAATGAATGAAACATACCAAATGTCAGTAATAAGTGACACATTCCTTTGGGGAAATGGCTGTTTAAAAAAAATCCAGTCTGTATATGCAAAGTCAGCAAAGAAATTCAGTCTTTTTTTTTTCCTTCTTCTTCTTCTCCTTTAAAAATCCGTTACTCCTAAAATATCATTCCACAGAATTGGAAGAAAGGACTGAAAGGCCAAGAGAAAGAGGCGAAAGGGAGGGAGCACACACCATCAACACAAAAGAAGTAAAATTGTACAAACTGAAGCAGTTTCTAATTAGGAGACTAGGCCGCACTCCGGGGCCCAAGGACGGCTGCCGGAACTCGCCGCTCTGTTCTGTTCTGTTCTGTTCTGTTCTGTTCTGATCTGTTCTGCAGGGGCTGGGCTTCTAGGCTGGGCGGAGACCCGGGCGGCAGGAACTCACTGCCTGGGAGCAAGGCCCCTTCCCACTCCGAAGCCGGGCTTCTGCACCATTCCTCCGCGCGGAGGGCCTCTCAGGCCACCGCCCAGCCCACCTCGAGGGCCTCCAGGTCCCCGCAGGCGGTTGTCCCGTCGGTCCCCTTCCCTGGCAGCACGGGTCTTCTTCTCTTCCACATTCAGACGGACTTCACCTCTGAACATGATAGGCTGAAAGAACCAAGGTGACGGCTCACTGAGTGCCTACAGGGGCAGCGACTTATACTCAGCCACGCTCTCGCAGCTCTTGTCCTGAGTTCAGAAGATGTGTTTTTTTCCCAGTAACAAAACATGGATATATGATTGGGAATGAAGGCTAGTCCAAAACAGTCAACTTAATCTGTATCACAGCACTAGGTATCTCTTACTATACGTAAGAAATACCACGCTGCTCATGGATTTAGAGGCTTCAGGAAAAGTATCAAGAAATAAGGAAAAATCATACATACTTATGTGAAACAATACATGTAACAAGGTGTTTAGGTTACTACAGTGATGTAAGTAAAACCTTGCAACAAAGGGCCATGGAGGCTAAGGTTAAGGAGAGAAAGGCAAAGCCAAGCCTCTGGACTGGGCACTGAAAACCTCTACGCTGCGGGACAGCACCTCACACGCCATGGTCATCAGTGTTCTGTAAACTACCTCTGTACTCACAAAACATCAGTCTAGGGAAAGGAAGAAAAGCCAAGATACATCTGTAGTTTCTGGAAGTACACAGGGAGTGACACGAGAGCACAACTCCCAGTTAGGTCCTTTAATACTGATGGCTAACCAGGCTGGAATAAATTACATTTTAACTGTAAGACACGGCGGTCAGAATGTTCGACAGAGCCAGAAGTGAGGGAGGTAAAGGGGCGATAAAGACAAAGCTGCTTACCCTGTTGCTAAGGACCTTCTGCACAGGCTCAGAATCATCGAACACAACAAAGCCAAAATTGGGTAACTTCCCGCCACTGTTGATGCGCAGGTCCACCACGTTGCCGTAACCTGCAGGGGAGATGGACGCCAGCGCTCAGTGAAGCAGCAGAGCACTTCCCTCGGGCACAGCATACACTGTCCCGTGAGACCACACTAGACACCCGCAGCGCGGCTGAGCCTGCAACGGCAAGCTAGTTCACACTGGGACATGCTGGGCATGAAACACGCTAAAGGAGCTCAGAGGGTGCGTTATTTTTTCTTTTTCTTTTTTTTAAATCGGTACCAGGGATCGAACCCACGACCGCCTGCTTGCAAGGCAGGTGTTTACGCAGCTAAGCTAAATCCCAGCCAAGAAGAAGCTTCTAGCATTGACCCCATTAGTTACATTCATTATTAAGGTCCTGTATTATTGTTACTTTGACCCTCTTGATACCCAACTCGAAGATCCTGAACTGTTTCTAAGTCCATTTATCTACTTTGTGGCTTATGAGCCATTCTTTTTTTTTTTTTTTTTTTTTTTTGTCTTTTTCTTTTTTATCGGTACTGGAGATCTAACTCACGACCACACACTTTCAAGGCAGGTGCTTATGCCACTGAGCTAAATCCCCAGCCCAGAGAGTGCATTATTAATAAAATGCCACACAGAGGCTGGCTATGACTTACTGAAAATGCTTGCCATCAGAACTGTGTGCGGATTTTGGATTACTTTTGTGTTCTAGAACATTTGCAAATGCTCCAAATGAGATCTTAGGGACGAGAGCCACGTCTAAACATGGTACTTATTTCTGCTCCATATGCACCTTTGCAGACAGCCTGAAGGCATTTTAAATGTCTACGTAAGACATACAAGGTGTGTCATGACGTGGGCTCAGGTGTGGATGTCCCCACCTGTAGCACTGACCCTCAGAATGATTCAGGTTCTGGATTTAGAAGCTCGAGCTGCCTTTCCTTCATTAACTGGTTCCAAAAGATACAATGGGTCCCAACAATAAAGAATATCAAACTGTTTTAGCAAACTAGCAAGACTCGGGGCAATCGACACCATCAAATTCTAGTTTGCAGGTCAGTACCAAACAATACCAAGTGCCAGGACAAAATTTCTGAACCAAAATATATCTGCTACTAAATATGGTAAGATTCAAAGCAGTGGAGTACCGAAGCACAGTATGACTATTTCCACACATGAAAATGATACTGCTGGGGCTGGGGATTTAGCTCAGCGGCATAAGCGCCTGCCTTGCAAGCAGGCAGTCGTGAGTTCGATCCCTGGTAACGATAAAAACGAAAAAGACAAAAAAAAAAAAGAAAGAAAAAGAAAAAAGAAAATGATACTGCTTTAAATGCAACAGGTTAAACAAAACATCATTAAAATGAAATCCTACAGTTTCTTGCTATTTTAACATGAATGAATACTGGGAAAACTTAAAATTGCGTATGCTGCTCATCTTCTATTCTATTGGAGAGTGCTAACACTAGATAAACTGTGTTCAAAACTCAGCAACCTACTTTGAAAGAAATCTTTAAGTTCCGATTTGTCCACCTCATGAGGCAGGTTACCGATGAAGAGCTGGTGGCTGTCAGGGTGTCTCACGATTCTCCGGGGTTCAGCATCACCTTGCTCCCCAGCCTCACGAACTTAAGAAGGAACAAAAAACAGCAATAAAAAGCTAAGTTACCTTTGTTCACTAACTATTTATATACAAGTTTTCTCTCTGCCTTAAATTCCATTAGCTCTACAAGAAAAATGTACCCCAGGTCAAGTGGCCACCCAAAATAAGCCCACACATCAGAATCACATGAACACAGAAACCGCCCGCGGGAGCTCTTACTTGGTCTAGGCCCCCTCTGGGGAGGAATATTTATTCGCTGCTCTCGCACTCTTTGATCCCTCTGAGGCCTCTGCGGTGGAAGCTGAGATTCAGGTTTAGACTCTGGACGGGGCTAAAAAATGTTTAAGTTAACTGTTGTGTGTTTAAAAAAAAAAAAAATGCATGCTTACTTTTCTCTCTTTTTCTCACGAAGTCTCTTAAAGGTAAGGTTTAAACTAGAAAATGACAGCCTCTTCACAAAGAGCTGAACCCTTGCACCCTTTTCTTCTGTCCTATATCCAGGTTCCCGTTCCTTGTCTCAGGCGGGCGGACCCAGCGCATCTGCCCCAGCGACAGTGTCCTCAGAAACTCACCTGCGACGCCGGCGCTTTCACCACGTGGGGCGGTATCCCTGTAACGGGGACAGCACCGCTGGGTGGGAGGTTCTTACTGGTCACAGACGCCCACGAAAACGTCTAAGGAACAGCGAACATCACATGATTACACTACACTACAAGACAATACAAAGGCTAATTTCCTGTTAAGAAAAAATTACACACTCATAGGCAGACCAGTGGTAAAAAGGATCTTGATCTTCTTTCACCTGCACACAAACTGAATATTAAAACTTGTGAGGCTCATCACATATGAGCCAAACATAAAGTTAAGTAGTCAAACAAGCAACTTTCAGTCAATTTCAAATCTGTGCATCTAATAAAATTCTCTCCTGCAAAACTTGCTTGGCTCTTTCTTCCATGATTTGCCCAATAAAACAGCAACCAACTTTAGGATCATCTTAAATATCTCTCTACTTTGTTTTTAACAATTGCCACTGCTGGGAGCAGTAGCACACATTTCTAATTCCAATACTTGGGGGTTGAGGAAGGAGGATCTCAAATCTAGTCCATCCTGGGCAACTTACCAGCCAGACTCCATGTCAAAAAAAAAGAAAGAAAGAAACTTTTATTTTACCTTAAATATCTTGTTTCTACTGCAGAGACTAACCAAGGTATGATCCGAAAGGTACTTGGGACTAACTGAAAAGCCTCTAACTTTTATTTACAAACAGAACAGTTTGTTTCTACTTTTACCTTAAAGCCATTCTCAATTAAATTTCACCATATAACCCTTAAAAAGCTATGTCGGGGCCGGGATACAGCTCAGGGCATAAGCGCCTGCTTGGTAAGCACAAGGTCCCGAGTTCAATTCTCAGCACCAAGGGGAAAAAAAACCAAAACTATGACACGTACCTGTATTATTACAAGGAAGTAATACTTTATAATTTAACAGAAGAACTCCCAAAGACTAGGGGAATTCTGGTATGGGATCTCAGGGCCAAGGAGCACCCAGGTTACCCAGGAGGGAGAACACTGTTACCTCTGAAGTTACAAAGCAATACTCATCTCACATCTTATCTGAGACAAGGCTCAGTTTTAAAGAAATGTCCTCAAACAACCAACATGAAAAATGTCTACAAAACTCAACCAAAATACATTTTTTTGAAAGTCAACTGAGCATTTACAAAAAGGAATTATTAAAAAAAAAACAAAAACAAAAACAAAAAACCAGTAAAACTGCAGGCGTGTCCCATACCCTCAAGTCTTCCTGCGCCGTCTGGGCTGGGTCGGCAGGCGCAGGAGAAGAGCTCTTCTGAGCATCCTCGGGAGCAGCTTCTTCCAAAACAGGCTCGGCCTTCTCCTCCTGGACCTCAGATGCAGGTTCTTGCTCTGGTTCTGGTTCAGGATCAGGCTCTGGTTCAGCAACAGGTTCCTCTAAATGTTCTTCCACGTCATTGCTTTTACAGGAAAATTTGGAAACTATCATTCTGCCTCCTTTGACTTAGCAGACCAATCATTATCTATAGGAAAAAAGCTACTGGGTTGGGAATACAGTTCAATGATAGTATACAAGTAGGTTTGAGTTTAAAGAAGCAACTTTTTTAATAAAAGCACTCTATGAATAAGTATTAATTGAAAAAAGTTTACTTGCTAAAATATATCCAAATAGATCAAAATTAAATTAAAATGAACCACTGCTCAGTTGGAATTCCAAAACCATCAAAACTTACTTATCACACAAACTCTCATACCTAACAGACTCAGAGAAGGCGGAAGAGGAAAGAGAACAGGACATTACTGCTTTCAACAGCAACAGTTTTGCAAGACAGATGCAAAGTCCACTACTGATTTCTCCACGTTCACTGAAGAGAAAGACTTGTGCTGCACTGTCAGGTAACTAACTAAACGCGGATGTCGTGTGCTCCAGGTGAATGATTTGGGGATGACAGGGCACAGTGTATGTACCACTGTTGCCCCGATTGACATGTTTTGAAAATAAATAAAGTCCTAGTGACTTTTTAAAATCAGTGTACCCTAAATTTAACACTGTAATACTACACACTTAAAAACCAGAATAGGCTAGGCACACAGGCGCACACCTATAGCAACACCACTCACAAGGCAAAAGCAAATGCCCAGCACAAATTCAAGGCCAGCCAGGACAACCACAGTGAGTAGTTGACTACATCGTGAGATCTAACCCTTCCCACCCCTAAAAAAGAGGTTAACCATAGTACATATTTGGCCTTTTTCACATCAAAAAACTTACAAAATCACAAAGAATTTAGGAAGACAAAGATACTAGTTCACACTGAAAACGGCTGTTAAACTTCCACATAAATCACCAGCAATGCTGGATATAAACTCCTGATAAGAAATCTCACTCAAAAAAATAAAAATTTTAAAATTTTGTAAGAAATAGAAATCTCAAATTTATTTTTCACTTAAAATTAGGAGGGAAAAAAAGCAAATCAGAAGACACCATTTAAAAGGTCTTCACAGTACATTCAATTACCAAGTTATTCATTTTTATTTAAGCCAGTGATACCAAAAGCAAAACTTTTCTTCTGGAAAAATGCGACAGACAGTACAATGTCTTATGCATCCCTAGCCATGTGAACATATTTTCTTTACCTCACAGGTTGATCATAAAAAGTTCCAGAATCATCAGGTACAGCTTCAGGTGTCTGCCGTCTTTCTTCAGGTTCCTCTACTTCTTCCTCAGATTCTAAACAAGGAAAATATATTTAAAATAACTTGTGCTTACTGAATTCACATACACATTCTTGTACAATGTCTACTATAGTCAGATATACTCATCAAACAGAACAAATCAATTCAATAAATTACAGCTTAGATTTGAAGCACAAAATTATACCATCAGCGTGTGTTGGTTCACATGTGAAACTTCACGTCCTATTTCTGGTTACCTAATGAGGCTCTTCCACCCTACTAGCCAAATGGCCTCCAGCACACTACTGCATCTCAGTACCATTAAAGCAGTATGTCAAGTACCTATGTACAACTGTATAAAGTACTTCAAACAATCTGTCACACAACAAATTTGCAAATACTAAGAGACAAGTTTCTATGGGTCTGCTGCACACGCTCCCTGCCTACCGTTTTCAGCTACTCGGCAACTTGAGAAAGAAGCATCTCCTCCCGCAACCAAGGGCAGGCGCACCTTCTCTCACCGCGAACCATGGGGAGGGGGCCTGGCTTTTCTTACGGCAGCCCACCCTGTGTCCTCCAGGCTGGACTTCCGTCCTGTTTGCCTTTTTACTCAGCCCACTCACTCTATAGTCAGTTTCTCCCTAACCCTTTACTTTCACTCTCCAAATAAACTTTGTAAGTGCGATAAATAAATAAGGTATAGATCCCTACACTAGGGGTTCTGTCCCCTTAACACGACTCACTGACTTCGTCCTGTTGTCTTATGGAACTGTGACAAAAATGCTATTACTGCTGTCAATAACAATTCGTGTATATGGTGCTAGGGGCACAGTTCAGCAGCAAAAGTATCTGCCTGACAAGCACAAGGTCCTTGGTTCAATTCTTGGTACTCAAAGAAAGCAATAATAATTCATATACTTAAGTTTAATATCTTCTCCAAACATCCAGGAAGTAAGCAATTGTTAAGTGTCAAAAGTATAAAACCTCATGTCCCAGGATACTAATTATGAAGAACAGAGTACAATGGAAACATTCAAGAAATTTGTATTCTTTTAAAGTCAGTTTGATGCCATTTTAAAGATGTAGACAAGTAAGTGACAGAGTTTCACTACTCACCCTCCTGAGGCTCAGTGACAAAGCCGCCAAAGACCTCATCCTGGTATCTGAAGATATCATTGTGAACATAGAATTTATTTGCAACAGAGCCCTGCAATGCCAACACAAAGTTTCCATTATTCAACAGTCTTTCAAAAAGCCCAATCACAGGTGCCATAAAAAGAATCCAGTGTTCTGTACATTCACTCACACTCCACAACGCATGGAATCATTATGCACTGCACATATGTACTAATAAATTAAAAAATAAAAAAAGCCCAATCTCGCTACCCCAATGGTCTCCATCCACGTATGGGAGACGTGGGTCCTCAGCAAACACTGGGCACTTTCTGGAGACATCTCTACTTTTAAAATACAGGACTGCTACTATCAATAGCTAATGGGTAGAGAGCAAGAGTAATACTAAATACCCTACAAAATAAGAGACAGAAAATTAGACATTGCTGGATAAGCACTGACAGGAGCACTAGGAAGAGTCCCTGTACCATTCCTCCAACCCGTAAGACTCAAATTTCAAAGATAGCTTCTAAAAATACACACCTTCGTTAATGCATTTCATTGTCACAGCAGGAACATGACGACAACACTCACCTCGGGAGCAAGGACAAACGTTTGCATGAACCTCCGCAACGCCTGGTTGTTGTTGGAGAGCAGCCCCATGACCTGGACCACCACGCCGTCGTTGAGTGTAGCATGTGCGTCCACATGACGGATCTTGGTGTGGCAGTTGGTGAAGTTCTGTGACATCACTTTCCTGTGGATTTCCTGAAGATCAAACTAACAGTTAACTCCTTGAAAAACACACAACCCACCCCTGTACCAACTCCCCAGGATGAATATAATCGTTCTGTACTACAAACTTACTAACAAGAAAGTTTTCAAAAGGAATCTTACACAACCTACAACAAACCCAACAGACACAGATAATCCCCTTAAAGTACACAGGCTGGACATGGTGGTACACATCCACAATCCCAGCAATCCAGAGGCTGAAGCAACAGGATGGCTGTGCGTTCAACATCAGCCAGGCTACAAAGTGATCTCAAAGCCAGCCTGCATAGCGAGACTCTTGTCTCAAAAACCAAACGGGCTGGGGGTTCAGCTCAGCGGCACAAGTGCCCGCCTGGCAAGTATGAGGTGCAAAAAAAAAAAGGTCCAATGCAGACAGTCTCCGTTTTGTCCTTGTATAGTCTATGCCCAGCAATCTGTGCCCTTTTAGGTAACTGTCCTGAAGCATCACTGATCAGAAGCTTACAAAGAATGATCTCCATACTGAAACCAAGTGAATGTACCCTACAAAAGTGTGACATGGCATAAGCATTCAAAAAAACTGTCGTACTACTCAGACACTAATTAACCACCAAACTTCTTCAACCAATCTATTAAGCACGTATTCACTTCAATAGTAGGTATCATTTTCCCATTGCTGAAAAGCCTATACAAACTTGGTGTGCGTACTTTCTGTCCATAGACTGCATCTGCAGGTTTCCCATTGGAATCCAATCCTCCGTGGACATAGGAAGAGTTCTTTCCATAAAATCTGTAACAGGAAGATAATTCACTTGTCATCTCCAAATGCCCTAGGAGCAGGTATGCTACAGTTGGGGACTAATGGAGCCCACTTGCAAACAGGAAGACACTGTCTCTGTCCAGCTCCACTTGCAGTCATCTACCCAGACTCTGCTCAGCAACGACAGGGTCATCAGTGAGGCAGAGCGTTTACTTTCTAAGTCACCGGTCCCAGATTTAGGACAAGGAGGTCATGTGGGACGAATGGTGGAGTTTACATCAGGAGGGCCAATCCCTTAAACTGAAGTTCACACTTTAGCTACAGAAAAAGACAGGCAGGCTCCGAGTCCTCCACATCTGAGAATGCGTGTGGGCAGTTCCACAAGGCACTCAGCTTATCCAGGCAGCTTCAGTAGTAGTTTTTGGAGTAGTTTTTAACAATTTCTGCTGATGGAATAACAACTTCGGACTTTAATCCCTACAGTTTTAATTCATCTTTGTCTTCAAATATTGTTTCCATTAAAACATCAATCTCATCAGAAAAACTACACACAATAAAATCTCAATCTAGGGATAACTATTATTAGTGTTTCTCTCTCTTCTAAATATAAACATTTCTCACTATATTGTTCAGGTTGTTCTTAAACTCGCTCTGTAGCCCAGGCTGGCATCACATGTGGCCATCTGCCTGCCTCAGCTTCCCCAGTGCTGGGGTCATCATGCACCACCATGTCTGGCATTAACTTTTGTTAACAAAGAGGTACCTTTATATTTTATATAAAGGTATTTTATATAGAAGGTTATTTTATATCCTGATTCAACCTTCCTTAACCCTCTGCCTTCTTATTCCTGAAACTACTAAAAACAGGCAGGGGTAGTGGCACACGCCTGTAATCCCAGTAGTCAGGAGGTTGAGGCAGGAGGATCATCACAAGTTCAAGGCCAGCCTGCGCTGCATAGTGAGACCTAGTCTCATAAAAAAAGAAACCATAAAAATAAACTATTAAAAGGACACAATTGCACCAGAAAATTGATGAACTGCTGGCTTAAGCACTTTTCGCTCTAAAAGGCACCTATGCACATCGCAGACAGAGAAACGGGGAGCAGGGACAGGGCGGCACACTCCAATCCCAGCACCCAGATGGGTCCCTGTGAGTGGTGCAAGGCCACCTGGCTACGGAGAGCTGCAAGGCCAGCCTGAACTGCACACTAAGCCTTGGCGCGGGAAAGAAAAAGTAAACGTGGGCTGAGGGGATAAATCCTGAATAACAATAAAGACAAGAAATACAGTAATGCCTTCATTAGGTTCTTTCAAATCCTCTTTTTTAAAACTACAAATTTGTAGTTCGATCCCTGGTACCGATAAAAACGAAAAAGACCAAAAAAAAAAAAAAAAAAAAAAAAAAAAACTACAAATTTGTAACTTCTAAAAGCATAAAACAACAAAAAAGCAGAATCGAGATAAAGAGCAGTTTACACCATTTGGAGGCTTGTTCTACCCCTTAGTGGACATGTATCCTCAGCTTCCAAGTCCTAAACGCCTACATCTACAATTACTATGCCTTACGAAATGGTAAAAACGAAAAACAGGTTAAGTGTTTAGAAATAAGGGGCCCCCAAAAAAGCATTTTCATTTTCAGAGCAAACCCAATTGTGGCCTGAAAATGAACTTACAAATTTTCTTTCATACCTCATAATCGAATAACATGTTGTTCAAACTATAAAGAAAATATAGCTCTGGTTTAGCACATACACACCTATAACAACACGCAATTTTTCTACAAGTCCACATAAGACAGTTTTATACAAAGCAACTCTGTAAAAGTAAGTATGGGGTAATCTGCATTATCAGAGAACTAAATCCAGTATGCTGTTCCTTTTTAGCCACAAAAATTAACATGATACAGGTGTCGCCTGGAAAAGTGACCTCAAGGGCCAGGGATTTAGCTCAGTGGCACAGCACCTGCTTGGCAAGCACAAGGCTGTGCATCTGATTGCCAGTACCAAAAAAACAAAAAAGAAAAGTGACCCCAGATTATCAAGTCACCTAAAAAGAACAGTTCTGAAGCAAATCTGTATCCACACAGAAAAACTGTTCAGTGTATTAGCAGAAATTTCCATCATCTGTACTTTTTGCTGTGCTAGAACTGAACCCAGGGTCTCTTGTATGGCAACTATCCGACCACTGAGGTACATTCTCAGCCTTACAAGTCGTTTTTTTGTTTTTTTTTTTTGGTGGAGGGGTTGTTTGGTTCTGTTTTTTGCATCAGGGTCTCACTATGTAGTTCAGGCTAGCCTCCAACTCACAGCAATCTTCCTGCCTCAGCCTCCCAAGTGCTCAGATTACAGGTGTGCACTACCATGCCCAGCTACCTTCTCAAATTTTATACATCTGTGCTTTAACTTGTAACAAGCATACATTGTTTCTACTAAAAAGATATTCAAATTTTTAAAAGCACAGTAACACAAAAACAAGTCCTTGAACCTAATTTTCTTCTTCTCTCTCTTTTCAGAGAGGAGGTCTTATGATAAAATTAGGGTTGGGCCAGAGCTTGCTCTGCAGTTCACCTCCAACTTGAACTGTAGTAACTTTCCAAGTGAGAGAATTAAGGGCAAGCACGACCACAGCCACTTTCAATACATTCTCTTCCTAAATACTGGGTGACCATCTGCTACGGTTTGGGTCTAGATATCCCCTCAACGCCACCCGAGGTCATAGAGCTTTTCCTTCAGAGGTAGCTGAAGCTAGTCTGTGTGACTGATTCGCAGTGCAACACTGGGGTCAAGGGTGGGCAACGGTTGGGCCAGTCCACTGACTGAATTGTCCCTGCCCTAATCCTGGTAGACTGCACACAACAGAAGGGAAATAAAGAGGCTTGTTTAGCTCTCCCTTGTTGCCTCTGTATCATCCACCTCCATGCCCTGCGCCATGGAGCCAGCCGAGTATGGACTGAACAAAGCCTCCACAAACTGTGAGATAAATAAACCTTTCCGCCCTTTAACTTCAGGTGCCTGAAAGAAAAGCACCTAAGACATATCCTTTTACATGTTTAGACATTACTTTCTGATACAAGTTCAGGTGAAGAATATTTCTCTAATACATCATTTAAAAAGTTGTCTTGTGTGACAGGCCTGGTGACACACACTTGTAATGCCAGCACTGTGGGTGGCTGAGGTAGGAGGACCCCAAGTTTGAGCCCAACACAGGCAACTTAGCAAAATCCCGTCTCAAAATAAAAAATACAAAAAAGGGGTGGAGACGCAGCACAGTGTGAAGGTTCAAACTGCAGCTGTCACGCAGCATCCTACAAGGTTTGTGGCGGGGAGCAGGAGCGTGTCCTAGACAGCGTGAGGTGAAAAGCGCCGTACCGGTGCAGCATGTCCGGGGCCTGGTTCAGCAGCGTGTAATACTGTCTCACAAACTCCCGCCCGACCAGCAGGGGACTCGGCTTCTCCATCACCATTGCTTTGGTCAAGTCAACCTGGGGGGAAAAGTTAACATCCAGTTATGTCTAATCTGAAAACAAACTCCTACATGACACAGTTTGTTTTTTGGTGGTGCTACTACATAGCTGAACACAGGGCCTTCACAGAGCTACACCCCCATGTAATTTTTACTTTGACACAAGGTCTCCACAAGTTGCCCACCTGCATGATCCTCCTGCTTCAGCCTCCCAAAGTGTTGGGATCACAGGCATGCACCACCAGGCCTGGTTCTATTCGCTTGAACATGATGGGCAACATGAAATTTGATCATTTGAAAACAGGCAACTTAAAGAGAGGGGTTTACTTTAATCTAGTTCACGTATGGGTTTTTTCCTTTCCTCTGAGAGGCGAGGGTCACACTATGTTGCTCTGACCATCCTCCTGCCTAACAGCACACTTAGCTCCTGTAATTCTTCCTCAGTGCTTTTAATAAAAGTGCAGCCCCTGTCACACTAGGTTTGCCTGCAGCCACAGTAAGGACAGCAGTAGGAAAAATACACGGATCCTACAGTAATACACACAGGGCCAGGGACACCACACCTGCCTGTGGGGAAATTAACAACCTTTAAAACTGAATTCTGGGGGCTGGGGATTTAGCTCAGCGGCATAAGCACCTGCCTTGCAAGAAGGCAGTCGTGAGTTCCATCCCCAGTACCGATGAAAAGGAAAAAGACAAAAAAAAAAACCTGAATTCTGTGTACTTTACTCAAGTATATTACACCTAAAAACCCCTGAAGTGCTTCCACACTAAAAAAAAAAAATCCTAATACATGTGAGTAATTACAGGTCTGCTCGTGGGGTGCTGGGGAAGGAACCCAGGGCCTCACATTCGGTGCTCTCCCCATCCAGGCCCGGCAGAACAAACACCAGAGCTAAGCACCCTGGAGAGCAGGGATACCTCTCAGCCTTTTGGTGGTGAGACTACCTGCCAAAAATTGTGTAAATAATGATTATTTTCAGTTTAGAAAAAGTAGCTTTTAATCATTCTCAGTAAAATGAGAATGCATGAAATTTTTGCAACTTGAGTCCTGAAGGACTAGAATCCACATAAATAATCTGTATCAATTCTAATTAGTTTTATAAAACCTTTTGATCCAAATATAAAATACAAACATGCCTTGTAACAATTTCTTAAAAACTGTTTAATCTCACTCTTACATCATTCTGAATTCTATCAAATCTAAAATAATAAAAGTAAGCAAACAAGTAAATTCACCAGAGAAAGGACAGTTACCAGTTCTCTCTAGCTCTTCTTTTAAAAAAGCTGTGCCTTTCAAGGAAAGCGCATGCACCTAACCTTTCAGAGTTCCAAGATTCCTCCCTCCTCCCCCAGGCTCTCTCCCCTTCAGGAGCAGGAAGGCATGTCTGCACTGCAGGCTCCCCTGGGAAGCACACTCTCAAACCAGGAGCACAGGACAAGCCACTGTTGTTCCTTCAACGGTCAACAGCAACTCCTTCCACAATAATGGCTTGGTACTTTCTCAAAGAGCATGGTGGGGGCCGCCTACAATCCCAGCACTCAGGAGGCTGAGGCAGGAGGACTGCCAAGAGGCCAGCAGAAGCTACACAGTGAGTTCAAGGTCAGCCTGGACTACACAGCAGGGATCCTGTCTCAGAATAAAAAGGAGGAAAAAAAAAAGTGTAACTGGCAGTTATCACTTACTACAAAACACTTCCCAACCGAACCTCAGACATTTTTTGAGGCAGGGTCTCACCGTGCATAGTTCAGACTAGCTTTCAACTCTGACCCTCCTGCCTCAGCCTAAATGCTGGACTGCAGGCATGCACCACCACACCCCGCTACCTCAGCTTGCTTATTAAACGAGTCAGTACCAACTCCCAGCAAGCAGGCAGGAAAAGAAGCCCCAGCACAAGTGCTGAAGACAGAGCAACTGGTACCACCACAGCGGAGAACCAGATGCAGTGAGCTGCCTGCGTTTTCATCTGCTCTTCTCCTCAGCCCTGAAATGTTGGGACAACACAGCTGGTTATTTTTGTGATTTAATGCTGACAAATCTAGCAATTCCAGACCCATCCAGGAAAAAGGAACACTCACTTGTGTAAGACAAAAACAGAAGGTTGGGCATGATAGTGCACACCTATAACGCCAGCACTCAGGAGGCTGAGGCAGGGGGATTGCCTCATGTTCGAGGCCAGCCTGAACTTCATAGTGAGGCCTTATCTCAAAAATCCAAAGAAACAAATAAAAGATAAACAGAACTGCTGGCCTTCTTGTGTAACAGCCCACTTGTCCATCGAATGGAAGATACAGGATAGACTCTGCCTTCATCCCAATGGAAACTCCTTCCCTAAACTATCTGACACATGCTACAATAAGATTTAAAACTATCAGTAATTGCAGCAGATTAACTGGAGTATAAAATAGGAATGCTCTGTGCAAACCAAAACACTGGACTGTAACCCTGTTTGTAGCTGTCAGAAAGTTATGGACTAGAGCTACTAGAGCTTAAAAGCAATGTCAGTATAAAAGACAATTTTAAAATAAAAAGGCTGAGCCGGGCGTGGTGGCTCACGCCTGTAATCCCAGCACTCGGGAGGCTGAGGCAGGAGGATCGTTGCAAGTTCCAGACCAGCCTAGGCTACAGAGTGAGCTCAAGGCCAGTCTGAACTGCATAGCGAGACCCCGTCTCAAAAGACAAATAAATAAATAAAATAAAAAGGCTGGAGGGCACAAGTCCAAAATGCCTTGTACTGGAGAGGCTGAGGCAGGAGGATGGCAAGTTCAAAGCCAGCCTGCACAAATTAGTGAGACTGTGCCTCCAAATAAAGCAAAAAGAAGTGGAGGTACAGCTAAGCATTCCGAGTTTAATATGCAGTACTCAAAAAGACCGAAGCTGGCTGCCAAACACATACAGTATGACAGCCTGAAATACTCAAATTATTTTATTAAGTTACACAAAGCAATACTAAATATTACTCAAAGATACACACACAAATGGACTTTTATTAAGTTTGGTGTAAAAATGGACATGCAGCAATAACAGCATTCAGAGCTGGGTGTGGTGGCTCACGCCTGTAATCCTAGTACATGGGAAGCTGAGGCAGTAGGACTGCTGCATACTTGACACCAACTTGAGCTACAAAGAGAGCTCAAGGCCAGCCTGAACTGCATAGTAAGACCCTGTCTCAAAAGACAAAAGAAAAAAAAAGTGTTCAGAAACATACCCAGGTGGATATGGTAGCACATGCCTATAATCCCTGCATGTGCCAGCCTGGGCTACACAATGAGCTTTTTAAAAAAAAAAAAAAAAGGTGCAATACAAGCCAATCCTAGTTTTTCAGTAACCTCTGGGTTTTTTTTTTAAATATATTTTGGGGGGAGGTTGTTTTTGCTTTTCTGAGTCAGAGTCTCCCTACTTAGCCCAACTGGCCTTGAACTCACAGGGATCCTCCTGCTTCAGCCTTCCAAGTGCTGAGATAATACGCATATGCCACTACATCTGGGTGTGGGATTTTTGAAAGGACGTTCTCCGGTACTTTTCCAATAATGGTGCTTCAGAATTTCGCTTGACCCTGTGGGAGACAACTCCAGTGACTCCCCTTGAATGCAAAACAATTGTGGCAACTTTGATTCTATGGAGACTTCTTTCCTTATACTGATATGTGGAGCTGGCTATGCTATTCTTTTCTCTTCAATTGGCTCTAAGCATTGTAAATAAGGCTAGTGGGGCATTTCTGCAAAATGCAGAGATGAGGACATGCAGAAAGATCAATTTGTACAATTCAATTAAGGTAGCAACTGAATTGTTTTAGGAGGCTGTTGCTTGGGTTTCTGATTTGTAAACTTCTGTGCCCTGGGGAGTCATGGCCTCTTTACCTTGAGGCTCATACCAGCTGACATTCCTGGAGCTAATGGCTCTAACATCCTGCCAGACAGCAAGCACTATGCAAGGAGACTGACTGTCTGATAGCTTTAGCGATTACATACCAGTACTTCAGCTACCTTCATTTGCAATGCTTAGAGCCAGTTGAAGAAAGAAGAAAATAACATCCTCAGCCCTGTACATATCAGTGTAAGGAAATCAGTCTCCATATAATCAATGTTGCAGCAATTGCTCTGCATTCAAGAGGAGTCACTGGAGTTGTTTCCCACAGACCCAGTCAGGCATCACCAAGCATGATGGTGGTCTGCTGAGAGCCCCCACCACTCCTCGCCTGGATGCTGCTGTTTCCTGAGGTCCCAGCTCCTCTCTCCAAACTGTCTTCTGACACAGGTGCCATGGACACATCATAGAAACCAATTATGCCAAACTCTTATAAAAATTCTAGAAGCTGGGCAAGTGGCAGACTACACTCCTGTAACTCCAGGTCTCTGGAAGGCTGAGGCAACAGAACTGGTAAATTCAAGCCCTGACTTTAAGGAGACCCTGTCTCAAAACAAAAAGAATGCCAGTGTGTTACAGCTTCAGGGCATGACCCTGGATTCAATTTCAGGTATGACAGAAAGGAAAAAAAATCTAGGAAAAATCCACAATGACAGAAACATGGATCTCCTGCAAGCAGGAAGAGGACAACCCACAGGAAAGAGAACGTAAGGAAGCTGGGGTAAACCGCTTCATTACCTTCTGTGTGGTTTCTCGGTGTGCGCATGCCTACAATTTACCATAATTTTACCTCAGTAAAGCTGTTTTCTAACTGCATTTTAATGTCACTGAGAGGGTGAACAGGGGTCTGCGCACTGAGCTACATTCCCAACCCTGACTGTATTTGGGTAGGGTCCCCTATGTTGCCCAATTGCCCAGACTGAGCACAAACTTTCCAAGCAACTTTCGGCCTCCCACAGTACTACGGTTAAGTGGTATTTGAAAAAGTGTTTTACCCCATAAGCCCAGGGAGGTGGTCTGGCAAGAATCCTCACCTGGGTACAAAGGGCTCCAGGTTCAGCCCACAGCACATTATGGCTACTTATGCCCGAAGCTCTTAGGCACTGGGAAAAGCTCTGAGACAGTAACTGGCTGTGGGCTGCAGCTAGCTATGAATTTAGGAAGGTAGTCATAACCCTGAAGGGTGTTTCTCCCTCGCCCTCTTCCTGTCCCTCTCTGCTCCCTGGCCACCAAGTCACAAGCAGTTCTTAGCCCAGGCCCTTCGCCAGGCCCTTCCTGAGCACAGTGCCCGACTCAGACTGAAACTACCTCCCAAACCAGGAGCCCAAACAGACCCCACTGAAGGGCTGGGTGTCAGGTCCTGGCAGAGAGTACAGGCGAGTACTACAGGAAAGACACAATAAAGGTCTCTAGGAGAGAAGAAGATGGAAACTGTAGAAAAAAAATTTTAATCTTTAAAAGCAGTCCAAGGGCGTGGGATTTAGCTCAGTGGCACTGGGCAATGCCTGGCAAGCATGAGGTCCTGAGTTTGATTCCTGGTACCTAAATAAATAGATGCAATCCAAAATGCTATCAAATTTGAGTACAATGACATTTAAAGTCTTTTTATTTTATAAATGTATCAAGAACACAGTAGGAAAACAGCCTGGCGGTAGGTGTTTTAAGAGGCTGAGGCAGGACCACTGTCTCAAGTTCAAGGCCAGCTTCTGAACTGCATGGGGAGACCCTGTCTCAAAAAGACAAAAAAGAAGCAGCACGGGCAATTTCAGTGACTCAAAAAGATGTATCTTAGAAATGAAAAAGTAAAAAATGGGATGTAGCTCAATGTGACAGCTCAGAGTCAACCCTCAGTAGGAGAAAAAACCAACCTCCAAACCTAAGGGGAAAAACTGCACAAGTCCAGCAATACCAGTATATATGTTTCAGGGTTACACATGTACCCAAGTATTTGAAACTCAGTTACCTAAATTCCAAGTGAAACAACAATGTCTCCCCAGACCCAGGGAAACCTTCCCAGGCAAGGCCAGGCAGCAGCACCAGGCAGATCTGCGTCCCCATGCTCCCAGCAGCACCTGCTGCTCCGCTCAGTGTTCTCCCTGACAGGCCCTTGGAAACAGATGATGCCAAGCAGTCAGCCTCAAATACTGGGTACTTAACGCAAGAACAAAAATGCTCTGCAGGCAAAGCATGGAACCCTTGCACGAGCAGGACCTAGTTCAAGGCCAGGGAGAGAATGTCCCAAAAAGCAAAAGAAGAAAGTGCTGGTTAAAAAAAGGGAAAACTATCAAAAAACCACAAAAGACAATGCTGAAATAATGTGGGCAACAAAGTAAGTAAAAAGCCGTAATACTTGATACAGTCCAAAGTCCATAGTGATTATATAAATCACTGAACAGACATTAAGTCTCCCTTACAAAGAATTCAAAGTAACAAGGAGTGAGAAGTCAATAATCACCATTAGGCACCAGGAGTAACTTCTAAACTCTGGGCTTCCTAGCACACATCCACCTAGAGTAATTCTACCATGCAAGAGGCTGAGGCAGGAGGGGACTACCATGAGCTCAAGGCCAGCCCCAACTACATAGTGAGATTCTGTCTCCAAAAAACCTATCTCAGTCCAAAAAAGCAGTTTTCTCTGACTCACCTTTAATTTTAACTTTTATTAGATACCTAAAACTATAGCACATATGCCAAAAAGCACTGCTATAAAAATCTCAAGATTCCATTTACTCACAGGCCAAAGCCTATGAGACAATGTATATTGCTTTTTGCTGCTGCTTTTTTTTTTTTTTTTTTTTTTTTTTTTTTTTTTTTTTTTTTTTTTTTTAAGATAGGGTCTCACTATGTAACCCAAGCTGGCCTCAAATTCACTGCCAACCTCCTGCCTCAGCCTCCCAAGGGCTGGGACTGTAGGTGTACCCCACCACATCCAGCTGTTCCTGCTTTTTGCTTTTAACACAAGCTTTCCAGTGTCACTCTTTGCAGCTTTCAAACCTCTCTCCTACCTTGTAATTCAAGTCTTCCCAAATAAGGCAGGATAAAGTGTCTACAAACAAACAAAGAGCAATCAGAAAGTTGATTTTTGAAACACAAAAATATAAACCATGTGAGCTGCCAGAGGGGATCACTCCTGCAAGTGGGACTCCAGTTGCTGACTCTAAATTTAACTCAGAGTTTGGAAGGACAGTATAGGTTTTTCCACTAACTGCTGACAACTCACTGGAGCTGGGGGAAGGGCTGTTTTTTTTTTGATCTCCATACTTTTACAATTATTCCCTTGTAAAGTCAGGAGAGCTTAAAGACAATGGAAAAGCACATGAAATTAAACGAAGAGCACAACCTTTAAAAAACAAAACCAGTATGCCAGAATGTTAAGACTATATAAGGGGCAGTTTCATTAAATTGACAAAAAGCAAAATTTGACTTTAGTCAGTTAGGCTGTAGGGACTGAACTCTCCACCTTGTACTTGCCAGGCAGGTGCTTGTACCACTGAGGTAACTTCTCAGCTCTAAACTGCATCTTTTAACACTGGCCTCATCCAACCAAAGAACCACATGCATTCACAAACCTGTAAAAATGTAATACCTAACTTGTGCCTTTTATTTCCTATGTGAGGTACTAAAATAGCTTTTATAAAAATCCATAATGTGAACAAAACTACTTTAAAGTAAGCCAATAATAAACATTACCAAAGTCTCCTAATGTTCCTGAAGTGAACTAGCAACTGAAAATAGCAAACAGGCTATGAGTTAGAAAACAAAGAACTGCCAATTGTTCCACCTGTTAGCTTACTTTGAAAGGCATGGTGGTTCAACAGAAGTAACCTATGACCTGGCTGGGTAGACAGAGACCCTAAGTTTTATGACCCCAATCTGCTTCAGTTGCCCTGACAAACTGATGATGTGTAGGTGATCATTCAGTTCAGTATCAATTTTGGAAATAATTGCAACATTCACATTCCCACCCAAATAAGAACCATTTACCACAGGCCAAGATAGTACAGTGTTTTCCTTAATATTTGAAGGTGATCACAATAAAATTTTCTCTCAGTTAACATGGAGCATAACTTCATATGTTTTTTTGCTGGTGCAATGGTAAGAATAGCTAAATGAACTTAGTTTAAATGTAGGTCATAGTGTTTTGTTTTGGAGACAAGTTCTCACTATGTAGTGCTGGCTGGCTTCACACTTGAGGCAATCCTCCTGCCTCAGCCCAGGGCAGGGACCTTGTGCACCACCATGCCCAGATATCATAGTGTGTGAACATTTAATAATATCTTAAATATTAAACAAAAAAACTAGCATTAGTTTTTCTCCAAGTCTAAATGAACAGAGACACAAGTCAAGTTCAAGTAAAACTATGTTATACTCTTAAAGCAATCTGTTATTTATGGCAGCAATAATAACATGTGCACCCAGTGTTTTAATCTTTTATACACTGCTTTCTAGTAAGAGAAAATAACTGCTGAACAGAAACACATAAAATTTTCTCAATCTGTAATCTTTTTGAAACTTCTTTAAAAAGGATGTGCAATTTCTCCTGACTGTAAACTCACACATGTGCTCACCCACACACATGCAAAGATTGATCCTGAAAAGCATCTGTACATTTCTTTTAAAAAACAGGCGAAAAGTCATTCAAATAAAAGTTAGCCCTTAAGGGCTAGTCTCAAAATCTGCTATAGTTTTGTTTATAAAGTACAAACGCTGACATAAAGTTCAATGACAAGATATAAAAATAGAACACTTACTACAAAACCAAAGAGTATAGTAGTTTTAAAATACTGTAGTCCAAATTGAATGCTGATGTCTTGTGCGCTGGGTGAATCTTCGATTTGGGGACCAGAATGAGCAATGTATGGACCACTGTTGACCCCGACTGATGGGTGTGAAATTTTGATGTAGCTTTTTTGGAATAAAATAGATTTTGAAAAAAATTAAAACTACAATGCTGTAGTCCAAACAGGCGTGGTTGTGCATGCCTGTAATCCCAGCACCCAACAGACTGAGGCAAGTTCGAAACCAGCCTGTGCTACAAAGTGAATTCAAGGCCAGCCTGAGCTGCATAGTGAGACCCTGTCTCAAAAATCCAAACTAAATAAATAGTCAAATACTGTAATCTGAAATACGGTTAGTGTTCAAGGAAACAAACTCAAGTCCTTGCAAGGAAGGTGTCTTTCTTCACACACAAGAACTTGGAGTAGATGCTAAAAAAAGTGACTGAAAATAGGAAAGGCCTCTCCACAGAAGATCCCAACTGCAAGGGCACTGTGTAAAACCAGGTCATCATCTCCACTCCAATCTCAAATCTTAACCCAGATTCCAGAAAGATACGAAACCCGAAACTCGGCATTTTGGACCTCACTTTGTTCAATCTTTTCAAAAATCTTTCCCCAAAAGCCTCTTCTGATTAAAATACAAGCCTGGCATGGTGGTGCACACCTATAAGCCCAGCACAAGGAGGCTGTAGTTCGAATGCTGAGAAATCGAGGCCATCCTGAACTACACAAGGAGTCTGTCTCAAAAGGAAAAGCAGAGTGCCAGGTCTAGTGGTACACATCTTTAACCCCAGCTCTTTGGGAAACTGAGGCCGGAGAAGCCCAAATTGGAACCCAGCCTGCGCAACGTAGTGAGGCAGCCAGACCCTCAAAATGACAGAGCTAGTTGAGTGTGGTGTCACATGCCTGTTAATCGCAGCATGAAGGAGGCTGAGGCAGGAGGATGGCTCTGAGGCCATTTTTGAGGTCAGCCTGGGTCACACTTGAGTTCAAGGCCAGTCCCAATAACATAGAGAGAATCTGCCTCCAAAAAAAAAGCAAGTAAATAAAACATAGAAAAAAGGTTTAGCAAGGCAGCCTGGGGCAAAGGTTCTGAGTTCGATTCCCAGTCCCGCAAAAACAAACAAAATTAAATTTCTTAAAAAGGAGGAAGGGAAAAAGATGCACGCGCGGCCACCCGAGGCTAACGTTTTTAGGGAGGGAGATTCCCGTCCCCCGACCGGGGTTCGCGATCGCCGGCGCTCACAAGGCCGACCCTTCGGCAGGGGCCGGCACAGCCACCACGAGCCGCACCGTCGCGACGCGCGGGCCTAAGCCTGCCTTCCCCTTTGTCACCGGCCCGTAGGCCGGAAGCGCCTGATACCGGCTCACCGGGCGCTCAGCGCCCGCCTGCTCTGCGCGAGGAACAGGGGCGCGAGCCCGGGCCGCCGAGGACCAAACCAGGAGCAAGACCGAGGGCAGGTAGAGCCGGCCGCGTGGGGCCTCGGGACGTAAAAAGCGTCCTGCGGCGGGGGTGGCGGCCGCGCTCGCTCCCTCCCCGCGTGGCCGTTGAACGCGGCGCGCGCGCGCGCGCGGCGGACTCGGCCACGCGCCCCAGGCGGCGCGGGTTGGGGGGGGCCGCGTGCCCGTTGCGCGCTCCGGCGGCCGTTGGGGTTGGGGTGGAGGAACGCGGTTCGCGCGGCCGTTCCGCACACTTCTCTCACGACGACCGCTCCGCCTCGTCCTGGTCCACAGGCCGCCCACTGCGCCCACACCCCGGCGTACCTGCGCGGCTGAGCGGGCGAGGAACAAGCTCTACTACACGGCGCGAAAGGTGGCAGAAATCCCTCACGCAAGTGCGTCCGCACACACGCGTGCTCCGCCGCCGGCGTATATAACTGCGCCTCAGCCTAACATGATGTGGCCCGGTCAGGCGAGCGTGTGACCAATCCAAACCGCGTCCTCTGAGCTTCTCGGACAACAATTGGGTATTGACTCAGGATGAAGGTGTGGCTCTTGATTGACTTTGAGTCAAACCTATGACACTCTGAGGACCTCGCGTCCCTAGTAAGGGATTGGCATTAAGAAACACCAATAACTGTAAACCGTACTGAAAAAGAGGACGGCAGTTCGCTGACTGATACCGGTACTAGCCAGTAACTGCACGGAGCTGTTTTTATTGGTTAAACCGCCTCCCATTGGGCGGAGATCCGTGTTCCGTACATGTGCGGTTGCTCTACAAGGTGGGGCCCGTGTACTTTGGGGAAGTAAACCCCACGCAACTAAGAGGTGGGAGCCAGAGAAGTCGAGTTAGCCCGCTGGCCAATCGTAAGGCAGGAAGGAGCTGATTGACACGGGGGTTGGACGGTTCCAAAGAGACAGAGCCCGAGGGCCGTGGTTCCCTCTGGGGTGGTTAATGAGACGCTGGGCTCGCTGCGACTTGCGTCCTGTCCCTCTCCCTGTCCTCGTTTGTCAGGAGTTCGGCCCCTGAGGCAACTTTTTCCTACGTCTCGGCACGCCGGGAGCCAAATGGCAGTTTCTCGGGTTTCCTCCTTTTTGTAACCAGTTTAAACCCACGCGCTGCCTCGGCCGGCGCACCGAGCGGGGCGGCAGTAAGAGAGGCGCAGGTCCCGGGCCAGGGCCCCTGCCCGAGCCGCGGCCGTGCGCGGGGTTGCGGAGCAGCGGTCCGCGCGCTCCCCCTGGGCCGGGCTCCGCACAGGCGCCGTCCGTGGCCGCCCTTGGCGCCGGGCTCCGGCTGCCGACGGGAGGCGCGCGTCCGCCCGCGTCCCGAGGTCCCGACAAGAGGCGATCGCCAGCCTCGCAGGACTCTCAAGCCCCGGAAGGCGACGCGACAGATCCTTGTGGTCCCCGAAAGCCTCATTCTCGCCTCAGCCTCCCTCCCTCGGTCTTGATCGAGCCCCATGGACCGCAATCCGAAATGACCCAGCGGGCGGAGTGCGGACAAGAGAAGCCCCGTGCAGCGAGCAAGCTCCGAGGCCCTGTTAGCCATGCCGGGAGCTCGGACATAAGTTTGAGGGCGTTGAAGAGCTCCCGGAAGGGTGAACCGGGAGACTTGCAATTTATTTTGTGCAGAAAAGTGTGTGGAGAAATCCAGCAACAGTCAGCGTTTGCAGCCCCAAGCCTGCGTGCCTGGGTTTAGTTTGTTTTCATTTAAACTGATGGCTGCACTTCACCTGCTCGGGGTGTTTCGAGGCGTTCTGGATTTGACAGAATCTGCTTGTCACATCGAGACCTGCGTGCACCTGGGCCGGGTCCTGAGATCAGGCGACCCCGGCCTCCCCTCTGTCTCACTCGCCTCGACACCGAGTGTGATGAGGCCGGACGCCAGAGGAGCCGAGCGTGTCCGTAGCTGGGCGCAGGGGGCACCGCGTCCCCTAGCTTCTTTCTTCTTGCTCGGTGCACGCGGCCGAGGCCCAGTCTTCCTCCCGCTGGGGAAGGCGGCAAGCAGCCAGCGCTCCGCACACGCTGGCAAATGTTAAGTTTCCAGATTGATCATTTTAAGCCTGGTGGGCTGTGATGGTGGAGTGAGGGATGGGGTACGACTCTTGTTTTTGCAAGGCAATTCGGCGAGAGCTTTTTAAAAGTGTGAGCCGAGCAAGATTACTTGTTGGTAGATGGCCCCGTTTGTTTACAGAGGTCTGACCTAAGGCGGCCACCAGCAGCGTTGCCTCACAGTTACAATACTCAGAAACGGAAAACGTTCAACAATAGGCAAAATTTCAGTGGCGACGTGCCTTGAATAGAACATAATGCAGCAGTTTAAAAATAAGAAGGGGAAAGTACTTAGTGAGGGCTCGGTTCCCACCTGTTCATTGAGAACAATCGGAGTTCTGTAAATTCAAAGCTTTCTAAATGCAACAGGAAAACACCCTCGACACCCTGGTGGGTTCGTTTCAGTTGAATGGGCCAATATTCCGGGTTCCCCTCCGCCTTTCCCTGCCGGGGAGGAAAGAATTGCCAAGCGTACCCCCAGGAGTAGGAGCTACGTTTATAGCGGAGCATAGGAAAAGTGGAACAGCAGCCGGAAAAGGAAAGCAAGCGGGCGGTGAGGCCGGCGCTTAGCACCGAAAGGCTCTAGGCCTCCCACCGAACCTCAGGGCGGCCCCTGCCCTGCCCCCAGGGCGTAGCTATCTCTTATCTTGAGCCTCTCAGGATAAAGGAAGCAGGAATGCCCGCCGGTGCTGTTTGGGGTTAGGTGAGGAAGAGCGACTCCCTCCGCTCCTTTGTTTCTCGCTGCACCAGGTCAGCGACGCAGGTGGCGGGGGAGGATGTAATCAAGTTTTAGGGTGAGACTGAGCTGTTAACTGCTGTAGGAGGAAGGTGAGGCCAGCAGGATGCCCTCGGGTGACGGGGCGGTCTTCCCGCGGGAGGGGGCAGCCGGCTTCCTCCAGGGTAGTTTCTCCGCCCAGATCAGAAGCCTGCAGGCCCCGGAGGCTGGAGCCTTAATCATGCTGAGTGAACGCTGAGAGCGTGATCACTCATCAGTGTCTCCCTGGACACTTGTGAGCCACGTAGGGCAATGATGGGGGGCCCGCCCCCGGGAGGAAGACCGCAGACGCCGACCGGGCACAGATGGAGGCCGGGACAGCCCCGATAGCAGAGTCCCCTATCCAGAGCGTCAGCGGTGCGCAGGCCGCGAAGCCCCGGCTTGGTTATCCAAGGAGTCTCCAGCCTCCTCCTAGCCTTCAGCTCACCCAGCCAGGGGGTGTCCTGAAAAATCTGGGACCCCTGCAGCACACTGCTTCGTCCTCCCTGCCAGCTCCCTCCGGAGCTCGGAGGGTCAGAGGTGGGGAAGCGTGAGAAAGACCCCAGTTTTCGGGGTAGGGAAAGGCTGATGGGAAATGACAGGTGAGGAATGAACTGAAATATCACCTGATGGGATTTTCCCAGACACAGCAAATAACGCCTGGGAGGTGACTAGAAACACTTGTATATACAGGGAAAAAATGCATGTAACTCAACTGTTTATGAACAAAGACAGTGAAATAATATCCATTCCGGCTGTTGCTATTTTTATACCAGGTGTAGACAGGCAACAAGCCAGACATCTGGCCACATAGGACAATTAAGTGATACTACGTTACAGTCATGTGGCCATACAGAAAAGGACATCGATACATGTCCTGTTATAGAGGATGGCCACCAGATTAAAAAGTGAAGGCTGAGGCAGGAGGATCATGGTGAGGTTGAGGCCAGTGAATTCACATAGTGAATTCAGTCAACATGAACTACAAAACCAGACTCTGTTTAAAAAAAAAAAAAAAAAAATCATAGACTGTGGAAAGTATGCCTGCCTTTCAAAGCCTGGTACCCTGTAACTCAGGCACTGTGGGAGGCTGAGGCAGTAGGATCACAAATTCAAGCTCAGCCCAAGCATTTTGGCAAAACCTCATCCCAACTAAAAATAAGTAAATACAGGGTGGGGATTACCTCAGTGCAAAGGCCCTGGGTTCTGTCCCCAGTACTGCAAAACCAAAAACTTTGCTTTTGTGTAAGCAGGGGGAAGCAGAAGACATGGGCTGATCATTTCCTATTAAGCTGTACTGTGTTACTCTTACCTGTACAGATTTATCTCTGTATATTTTGCCCCATATACTGTAATTCCAGATATTGAATATAGTTATCCATTTAATCCTTTTTCTATTCATGTAATCCTTTTTCTAGTTTTCCTCACAATCCAAAAAGTTGTATTTGTAATCTGACTGAAATGTTATTGGAATCCCAGCCAGTTAATTCCAATCTACCACCACCAATGCAACCTATCGAGAGTAAAGACACCAAGACATATTCCAAGTTAAGGGCAGTCAAGAGGTCCTAAGTCCAATCCCTGTGAGGATGTGTGAACAAAGGCTCTGATCCTAGGCCTCTCTCAGAATTTATTATTTTGTGAAAAGACGAGGTGGCTCAGGGATGAATGACAGTGAAGACAGTGGGAATTACACAGTAACTTGAGCTGGTTTAGCCAGGTGGAGAGAAGCATCTCAGCAAAATGCAGAGTTAAGGATATGCAGAAGGACCCATTTGCATAATTAAGAAAGCAACTGAATTGTTTTAGGAGGCTGTTGCTTGGGTTTCTGATATGTAAACTTTTGTGCCCTGGCTCTTTACCTTGAGGCTTATACCCAGTTGACATTCCTGGAGCTGACTGGCTCTGCCATCCCGCTGTGCTTATATGTTAAAGAGAGAACACTATGCCAGGAAACAGGAGATGTCTGATGGCTTTAGAGCTTACATACCAGTACCTGGCTAGCCTTATTTGAAGAGAGAAGGAAACACCAGCTCTGTACATATCAGTATAAGGAAATAAGTCTATATAATCAAAGTTGCAGCGATTGTTCTGCATTCAAGGGGAGTCGCTCCAGTCCCCTCCCACACCTGAGCCTGCCACGTTACACCTGGAAGAAGTCCCAAGGGGTTACCAACGGAGGAGAACTTCAGCCACAACCGGCGAAAGGCTTACTTTGCAGTACTCTTTGGTACGGTATCATATTTAATGTACCTGTGCTATTTCTCAAAAAAAAAACTAATGTTCACTATAGGTTTTACGAGTGATATGAGGAACAAAAATAAGGAAAATTTGCTCTTTCAGACAAGACACTGTACTGTATCTTGAATAATACTGTATTACTCCTTGTAGGTAGTTATAAGAGTTTTGAAAAGGAGGCCAGGCATGGTGGTGCACCCCTCTGATCCCAGCATTTGGGAGGCTGAGATGAAAAGATCACCTCAGATTCAAGGCTGGCCTGGGCTCCCTAGTTTAAGGCCAGCCTCAGCTATGTATCAAGATTCTTGAACAAAGATCCAAAGAGAGCGTCGTTAAGCTGGGCGCAGGGACCTATGCTTGCAGCCCTAAGGACTCGGACACTGCATGAGGAAGGCTGCT